CCCTCTCCCGACAGCAGGCCACCAACCTACATCAAGCTCATACCTAGGCTCCACACTCCCCACAATATACTCACCTCTTCCGAGACGCTCAAGGGACAGCCCTTATGTCCTGGCTACCCCAACAAATATACCTACTGGCACTGCCTGCATGCACAGTCATCCATCCGCTGTACACTTTCCACACACCCTTCCAGGCTACGACCCACCACGTGGCAAGGGTGGCTATCTCCAACGGATGAATAATCAACAGGCTTCCGCCATCTTCGACGCCATATTTGACGATCGAAGAGGATTTGAAAGCATTAGATGATGCTGCCAGCCCTCTGTGATACCCTTTTCCGCACCCTCTTTTACATGCCTCCTCCTGAATCCCCTTGAAACATTGAACGAAGGGTCATTAAATATGTTTTCTCACTCTTTCCCTCTCTCTCTCTCTCATTTCCAGGTGAAATAGACGCTGAATCCAGGTCTCCAAAAGCTTCTTCAGCTTCCAGACTCTCTACAGCTGGACTTTCTGACAACAGAGGAGAACAGGACGAACAGCAAGCATTCGAACGTGTTATGCGGAAGATGCTGCACTAGTTGCTGAAAATGTCGAAACTGCGGAGGGTGACCGTTAGAGTGAGAAAAAACTTCATGCATTTTAGCTTGCAGTCAATTCGATTTAGCCAAAATCTCAATTTTAGAGCCTGTAAAACGTAAATTGTCGACAAGGAACTAATAACGGGCTAGACACCTCAAGCGCTCTGTGGTGTCTGTTCTTCCTCTGTCCTTGTCTTAAAGTTCAATCATGTTTTCTCACAAAGAGACCTCACTTACGTTAGTTGTACATTACTTGAGTGGTATTATAAACAAGTCCACAGGTACCATCAGTTGTGTTTGCTAAAATACTATCCGAATCCAGCAAAGGCCAAATGCGAGCAGTGTTAGCAGATATAAATAAATAACTGATAGATGCCTGTGTTCCTTCTTCCTTTACTTTGCCCCTGTGCCTGGGCTGTCTAAATTGTGATTCTCTCTCTATGTCCCAAACTATATTTAACATGTTGCTCGAGCAGCGTGCAGCTTTTATGCTTCGGCGTTTTTGTTTAGAAGAAGAGATACAATTAAAAAAATAAAACGAAATAGTATACATAACTCGTCAATTCATCCAGACCATCAGCAGCATTGATTGTATGAGGTGTAAATTTATCGTGATGCTTCCGCAGGTGTGACCATATTTCTTTCATTTCATACACCAACTGTGATTCGTGCGCTGCCTGCCTTGCCATTCATGCCTGAAATGTTAGTCGACGTTTCACCTGTGGACATACCTCAATAAAAGCCCATATGAAAGTTGACACTTCCTACGATAAACGCGCACAAAAGAACTTTCAGCCTTGCCACTCTGTTGAAGAAGGAAGACCAGCGAAGCTGTACTATGGTGGAAATGAAGTAATGGCCGGCCGCAAGTCGGCAAGCCAGACTGGAAAGGCTGGACAGCTGCCGCCACCTATGAACGACGGCGGAAACCAGACAAACGGCAAGCCGGTTTGACACCGACGCTTATAGATGGCGGCAGCTGTCCAGAGTTTCGTGTCATCCTTTGTTTGCTGACGGACACGATTCTGGGGAAACTAACCCTTAACAGCTCCGCTGTAAAAGTAAATAGAAACTAGCGCGCCGACAGCTAACGTTCGTCACAGCCTCCACAAGGCAAGGGGGGGAGTCAGGGAAAAATTCTGGCCCCGGCGTGACGTCACCCCGGTTCGCCGTAAGGGGGCGCCACGCTAATTTCTCCAGGCTAATAGACCCTTCTCTTTGCAAACGCCACGAGGCGGTGTTCCAGTCACTGACGTCCCAGCGAACTTCCGGTTCATAAAAATAATCAACAAAGCCCACTATAAAACCGCTACTTGAAACGTCGATGAACCATTTAACTAACAGTTCTCCAGGCAAACGCCAAAACGACCAAGAAGAGCGAGATATGTTCAAATGTTTCGAATATTCTTGTAAACCAACTTGACTCCTGAAAGACGTTAAATCGTATAGCCGAAGGCCTTCGCTAAATCTCCAACTTTTCTGTCCGTGTAGAATTTATGCTTTCTAGCACTGGTGGCATAAGCAGACTCGACAGGCTTGCAAAGACTGCGCGACCGGAAGTCGCTTGGGACGCAAGAGAAAGTTTATATTTATAAGCAGTAAAAGGGTCTTATATATAAAATTGTATTGACACTCTATTGAAAGGTATAGAGTAGACCAAGTAACCGGGGAACAATAAAACAAAATAAAACATGGGCACTACAACAGGGCCAAAAACAACCGTCAGGAGCGCCACTATCCCGGAAAGGGGTAATAAGAGTGGGGCATTTTCGTTTGGCCACCCCGCTCTCTGTGAGCCATCTCAAATTCATAATTACAAAGTGTCTTAAAAAAATAATAATAATTTCCCGTACACCGACATGTTTTAGGCATATACCTGATCACTCCATGCAAGCATTGACCATTCTTTATTGATGTCTAACAACAACAACTTAGAAACAAGATTTTTTTGTTGTTGTTGTTTTTTTTTTCAAACAAAACGGCGTTTTAGCAAATGTCAAAGAGCTATGTAATTGAGCGTACGGGTTTTCATTGCCTCGGTCTTATTGTGCTACTCCCGGCGCTGAAGATTGACGGCAATAGCGGCATTGAGAATTCATTTTGAGGCAAAGAGACGAACGAAGAATGATATTATTATGGAGAATGTTGCAGAAAAAAAAAGAAGTTTGATCAGTTCACTGTGTGAACAGCACTGAAGACGCTTACATTAACAAAAAACGCTGTCAGTGTGATGACGGGTCGCCACCATCTATTGGTGGCTCGTTCAGACTGAGTTCCAAATGGACCTTTTCCAAATACCGATGGCACCAGGCGGTGGCTGCACGAACTAAAAATCGAGGAAGTGACCTACCTGCGCTACCAATCGACAATGGGAGCTGCGCTACCAGTTGCTTCGCTCTCTGAGCTGCGTCGCGTGCCCAACGCGACTTTAAAGAGGGAAATCCGTAGCGTCCACCAAAACGTCGTGTTTTTCTCTCTGCCCACTTTTTTTTTTTGTGTAACACAATTACATATATGCTGCAATTACGTGTTCTACTCGTCGATCTACAGCCTCATTCCGAATTTCGTCGATTTTTCGTGCCGAGTTCCACCGCTTGGCATCGGGCGCTCGCGCGTGCGCAGAACGCTTCTCGGAAAAGGTCCATTCTGATACCACTTTCTGGTTGCCAGACTCCTAGTGGTGCTGGCTAGAATGGCGGCGTTTCGCCCCCTTGCCGACGCTAGCGCCGCCGTGTGGTCGCGTATACCAAACTCTCCCATAGCGTTGTGGAGAAGTTTCGTGATCAGTAGCATATTGAAGGACTCTGCTTGTACTAGTAAGAATAGTGCACTGCGTCAGAAAGTTCTCCGGACATTTATATGTACTAATTAGTCTGAGAATGTGCGACATGTTGCTTCTCCCCTTTCCTCGTCAAGTTGGTTTCAATTGAAGCGCGTTGAACTGAGCTGACAGTAGGGAGTTTTTGTAGATCGTTTTCGCCGTCCCGCAAGGCCCTCCGCAACCCGCTACGATAGCGGGAACTCCACAGTCAAGGCTATCGGCGCGCAGGCGCAGTAGCAACTTCTTCGTTGCGGAACGCTTAGCGGAGGGGGCAACGCGGTGTACGAAAACTCCCTAGTTTCTCGATTTGCTGGTACGGGAGTGTTCACGCCTCTGGAGCATATCCTAAGGTGGAACGAACAATATCGTCTAGACTCCATTGGGCAATTCCTCCGAACGTTGTCCCCAGAGGCATATCGGTGACCGTATACCACCGCTGCCGGAGACACTGAGAGGGTTTCGTATTGTTTCGAAGGCGCTGCGAGAAAGTATAGGTAGGATTTTTCACGCTGGATGGTTTGGTCAATCTCCCCGTTTCACAAGGTTGCCAGTTGCGACATATGTCTGCGTCCGAGAATATTGCGTCCTCTCCGGATGAACAATGTCGCGCTGTGGTATGAGATTCATGGTCTTTGTATATCGGCGTCTTTCTGTGTGGCGCCGCCAAGAGTTCGCGCCATATTTTGCACAGTCTGTTATTAAAGACGCATGCAGCCTAAGAAATCCGCTGCGTCTACTTCCGCGCAAAGCACTTGGGATAGCCAACAAGTTGCTCTGTGACACCGATCATGATGAAACGGTGTGTTCAGCGTCACGTCAAATACTTTTTATTCCCAGCCTAGTCATTCTTTATTTTGTATTCTTTATTTTTACATTACCCCGTAGCGCGCAAAAGCATGATTGGAAAAAAAAAGAAAAAAAGTCCTTGTTATGGCAGCACATTTGCACTTGCGACGACCAGTTCCACTCTCCAATGGTTTTAACAAAAAGAAAAAAAGACTCCACATACATGTTTGTTTTGGCGCTGTACATAATACCGTTCTTTTAAGTATATGTCTCGCTGTTAATTCCCGTTTCATTTTTTATTATTATTAAATCTAAAACTGTAATCGCATTCTTTTTTTTTTTTTCTTTTTTCCGGTGAGCGCAAAGTACTTTTAGTTAACATTTCTATGCTAATATAAAACTACATATTTTCTACCACACTTTTTCAAGGACGAACTTATAGCAGCCCTATTTTTAATTTTTTTTTCAAGTTAGTCAATCAATGTTAATACCCAAGTTCATTCATTATCAACTTAATATCTAAAGATGCAAATGCGAATGAAAAAAAAAATTGGTGGTCTCATTTTTCTGTTAAATGTTTCGAGTAATTTACGTTTACGCCGAAATGTTTCCGCATCAATTCCAGCTGTAGCGGTAACTTTAAAATCGCGCGTCGAACACGGACTGCCCGCGCCATCTGTGTGTGACTGGTGGAACCCGGTACGAGGAAACATTCAATATGTCGCGTCTCGGCGACAGTTTTTTATCAATGAAATGCTACGATGGCGTTCGTGGTAATACGTTTTTATTGAGAGTGTTATCAGACGATGCGGTTATTTCTTCAGTGCTCTCGCACCAAGAGTCTGTGGTAAAAGAACCCGCAAACAAGAAAGTATACCTGAAAAAAACAAAGCAACAAAACAAACGTTATTGTTAATCATTAATCATCCTTCGCTTTGGGGTTATCATCAGGTACCGGTGAAAAGAATAGGAGATGAGGAAAAGCGTTAATGAGATTCTAGAAACAGAGCATTGATATGGTTACACTGCGAACACCGATAAATGCTCTACCTTTTTTTCCGTTTTGATCAATCAATTTTAGTTAGTAACAGATACATACAGGTATAAATCCCTGCATAAGCGTAGTGTCGCGACAGTGCATCGTCATATTTAGTTTCAAAATACATATATATTGTACCACAGGCCTCTCCCAAGTCAAAATAAAGGAGACAGTATGCACATGTCATTTCCCTATTTTCTCTTTAACCGCTCCCTGTACGATTTGTATATACATATATATATATATAGTTTCTTTTTTTAGCTTTTCAGATTTTTTTTTTTTTTTTAAAGCCGTGAAAATTACATTTGTGCGGTTTGTTCAGGTGAGTTATACGGCCAGGGAGACATTATGTGGGTGGCACATTTTTGTAATAAGTCGGCTAAATAATTAATATGTGTTAATTAAAATTTTATTTATTGAAAATATACATATGGTTCCAATTAGAATCTTACTGAGCGTCATCGAAAACCACTAAATCTTTAAACATTTTTAGAACGACTTGAAGCTCGTGGCAAACGCAGGGGCGCACCAAAGTTACCACTCGTGAAGCATATATATATATATATATATATATATATATATATAGATAGATATATATATATACCTCGTCGGATTATGCGATTTTACTTATACTTTTATTCTATATATTGCATCGAAGATTCAACCGACTCGTTAACATAGTGTTTCCACAAGAACAACACATATACCATTTTTATCTCTTCCTTTCCCGCTCCCCTTATTATTGTTCCTCGTTCCTTTCACATAACCATATTGCTGAACGCACTTGTTAATGCCCTTCACATTGAGCACATTAAGGTTGCTAATATTTGTAATAGAAGTTTATTGTACCATCTATGTACGGCCTCTAGATTTTTTAACAATATCGCGCAGACGCCGACCGCTCGACAGATCAGCGCCTTACCGCGGCGTGAAACAGCAACTCAGCGAGGCTATATGTCTTCTGCCATACGCGCGTAGTCTCTCTGAACTGCTCTTTCACGCCGCGAGATGGCGCTATCTACCGGCCGGTCGGCGTTCGCGTAATATTGGTAAAAAATCTGGGGGTTGTACATAGTATCATCTGATAGCTTTCCCTTTCTCGGTTAATACAAACGGTGTTTTTTTAACCTTTTTTGGGTTACTCATTGAGAAGGGTGGGCAGTATCGCTCCCAAATCGTCATGTGGTCTCAATCAAAAAAGGGCGTTTACCATTTTTGCCACTGTTATGGCACCCGAATTAGAGCATGATAACAATGCCATTTGGCTTTCAACTCCTTACCTGCACACACAACACACACACATAAAGAGGAACTTTCTTCGAATCATGCCATTTCAGTGATTCATACTTGATTACCGAGTAATCAACGTAAAATTGTACCAAATATTAAAAAAAAAAAAAATTCAATAAACTTTCCTTCGATAAACACTCACCTCAATGAGAGCAAAAGCAAACATTAGGGTTGATGTTACCGGATCCATCATCTGAAAGAGAAAAGCAATCATATATGCAACCGTTCTGATGCCTAGCTGTACGACAGTTATCAGATGGATGTTATGTCGTTCGCTTTGTCCAGGTATACAGTTTTCAAAGAGCTCACTGCATTCGACACAAAGTAAATGCTGTCTTCCGGGATGAGCTAACCATGTTTTAATCAACAAAATAAAAAAAAAAACACACACACAGACATACACAATATGCTACATAACTTTATGGGAAATTTTCAAAAAATCGCTTTTAGGATTAGCGAGCGATAAAGTTCTAAAGGAAAGAAATGAGAGAGAACAGACGGGCGACCTGGTGATATCTCAACATCTTGGAAATCAGAGTTCGAGGAACAAAAGTGTGCCGTTCTCCGTTCTCGGGTTTCCAGGCTGTTGACCCTTTCACAACTTTGGAATCTAAGCCCAACTTCATCAAATTTGGGAACCATGATGAGGCGAAGTTTCTTTGTGTTTACAACGATAACTTAAGGATAGATATCAGTTCTCCTCCCCCCTTCCCTCTTTTTTTCGAAATGATGTATTATCATCACGTGAAACCGTGACGTCACGGACACGTCGTGTCACGTGACGTAACGATGTAGCGAGACGACACGAGACATCCCGGTGGCATATGACATCAACATGTCAGGTGACAACGCTCGTCTGACCTCATCTATCTAGCAGATATAAATGTGTGCGTCACCCTCCACGCAGGGCGCTAGGTGTACATGTGTGAAAGACACATGAGGATACATTATTAGAGTTCGATAAGCTGTCGCTGACTACGTAATGACTGCACTCTGGATTCGCAGAGGGTCTCTAATCCGGACTCTTTTGGAAAAAAAATGTCGGCGAGGGATTCGACCACCGTGATTGGCCGGCGCCAAGGTTCAAGCGCGGCGCCGGCCAATCACGGCCGCCGGATTCCTCGCCAATTTTCTCGCCAAGTTTTGCTATTTTTCCGCGTTGTGAAACACAAGGTTAGCTTCTTTGAGCAGACGTCGTAAGCCTGCACAAAAATACAGTATGGGAATAGACTCGTAAATAATGGAAATAAAAAAAAAATTTCTTAATAAATACCAAAAAAAAAAAAAAAGAAGTTAAGTTTTGAAAGGTCGAATGATCCCAAGTGGCCATTACGTCAACGCCGACGGCGAACACGTTTTCAGAGCGCGAGCTTCTACACGATCTTTCCGCCTGCGTCGGCTACGAAGAATTCACTCAAAGGAATCGCAAAAACCGGTTTGGTAATGCGTGACCCTATACTTTAAGCCCAGTAATGAGGTATAGGTGGTGAATCATCTGTTTTGCGAAATTATTGAATAAAGCATTTACTGAATCAAAAAAACGTTCCACCTAGTGACAAAAAAAGTAAAATTGATGCTTGCTAAGTGGGTTAATATAAATGGCACAAAAAGAAACAGTCAGAGAAATTCGTTCGAATCTGTCCCTTCTATGGTTTCGATAAATCAAACGTTCAGATTTATCATAGCCACGAGCTGTTGTTGCCATTTTTTAATATTATTTCAACGAGAGGAAAAACGTTAAAATTCCATGACCTACAAAAAAAAATTTATATATATATATTTTTTTTATAATAACCGATGTATGGCATATTCAACAAATGCTCATACATTGCCTGTCCTAAATATAAATTTAACCGAAAAATGTTGTCTTACGCGTGGGTTTACAGCCGTCCAGACCGCAGCTCCGACAAGCCATAAAATATATGGCACCATCACGATCATCCAGGGAATCATCAAGGTGGACAGCTTCTGTTAAATTGAACACAACAAAAATGGCATTTAACGGGGCAAGCGTTTCTTGTTTTGTAAATTTAAATATAATTTACCAGTGAACCTTGCGAACTGCAACACAAAACAAAAATACAACTTAATGACAAATTTCTTTCTAAGACTTTCAAGGAATGAACGCAGTGATAAATAAAAATGGCGTTCCATAATAATATAAAAATGCTCCAGATTGGTGTTTTTCTTTTTACAGACAGACATGTAGCTTTTAACAATGAAAGAAAAGACAATGTGTAACTATTTTTCTGTCGCAAACTTCCACGAAGAAGTTCATCTTTTTTTTCTTTTTTTTTTTTTTTTTGTCAAATTTTTTTTTTCTTTATGAATGTTAAATTACCGAATTGTTCAAGCGTACTAAATTTATTCGCTGGTATTTGGCGTTGGAGGGGGAAGAAAAACTTCGAGGCTCGTCAAAATAAAAAGAAGACAGGCTATGTGATGCAGGCAACAAATATCCGTTTTACGTACATGAAGTCAATCCAATTGCGAAAGCAAAGTATTTAGTCGAAAGAATCAGCGTCTGGCTTTTACTTTATATGTTGTCCTTCCAACCGGTAGCGTGGCCGAGTGGTCTAAGGCGCTGGTTTTAGGCACCAGTCTCCCCGGAGGCGTGGGTTCGAATCCCACCGCTGCCAGACGTTTTATTGCCTGTATTCTAGAATTAATACACCTTTATATTGCTTACAAGTACTTGATAATCACCGTATTTAACACCTATCAAAGGCTATTTTTTTTTTTTTTTGTATGAATTATCTTGCTTTTTTCTCAGCGAAGTTTATTACTTTTGCGCAGCAAACAAGATACTTAGCGGCTTAGTTTCTCAGTACTCATTTAGTTTCTGCGTCGTTTATACTGGTGGGTGAGGCTTCGTAAATTGGTGAGGGCTTCGTAAATTGCAATAATCAAATAATTTTTTTTTTTTTCAGATATGAACGGGGTTGTGCGTAAAAGCTGCGGTGCGCAGAGTCCATGCCAGTCCACGTGCCCCTACGATAATTAGCTACGAGCGTGCAGGAAAAACATAAAAAGCAACATAAACACAAGCCGCATAAAGTAAATTTTTAAATGTTCATTGGTATAGAAACGCATACAAATTCGAAAAATATAAAAAAAAAGTTATTCGAGGGAAAAAATATGCCCACATTGTAAGAGAATAGACTACTTAAGGTAAATATAAGTATTACAAACGCTGTTTCACTAACGAGGAATGGTAACAAACCGAGCATAACGGGAAATGTTTATTCCGCGATGCAAGGTTGGTCAACTGTACGCAGAAATCTAACAAATCTAGCTTCAGTGACTTTACAGATCAACTATTTCTTTTTCGTTTGCCATGAGTCAGGTCAATCAAGAACAAACATCTACTCACTAAAGTTTATCAATAGCGTAACGTTTAATAAATGTTCTTAATGTCAATACTAATAATTTGTGTTTAGCATTGAAATTATTATTAGCATAGTGATTGAAACTGAAGAACCACAGGGTGTGACTTATTATTCATCGCACTTTCATTGGATGAGGACAGAGTGATAATAAAATGCCAGGAACTCGCCACGCCGGGCATTTCTACAGTTGTCAGTAACTTTGGCAATATTAACTTATTTTTATGCACTAAAGCACACTCACCTCTGAACATTAGAAGATGTTTCTCGAAGACTTCGCAAGGTGTTACATTTTTTGTATCGATTCTTCAATATTTAATTGGACTCATGACATCAAAGCCTTACGTGAATTTGTGTGAACGATATTATAAGATAATATAAAATATTATATTTTTATGCTATTTAAGCTTTCGTAGGTTCTACCAATATGCAATAGATAATCGTAATTCCATTAAACCTCTGCTACCATAACTCGTACGGTACCCGCCAAAAAGGGAAGCAAGGAAATGCACTGATCGCTTACATCGCCGACTCCTTTCAGGAAAAGCAGAGACGCAATCAGAAGCATCGAGGACATGCCAATCCATGTCAGGTGGAAATCGGAAAACTCTGAAAAGACATAAGATACAGTTACTTTGTTGGAAATGTTGTGAGGAGTCTACAATTGTCATCGAATTCAGGAAATCTTATAATAAAACAAAAAGCTTTTTTTTTTTTTTATCGACAGCACATGCAAATTAAAGATCACAAACCGTGATGACATCTAAACACAAACATTATGAAACAATTAAAATAGCAAATTGTATGCGCCTATTCCTGAAGAACACAAAATCCGAAATGTAAAACAAAAACATTCAAACTGCGTATAGGTGCTGAAAATGTGATTAAGACCACATCTTTCTGTACTATTTAATTGCGGAGTTAGTCAATCTCTTCTCATCTGCTTTTTTTTTTTTTTTTTTTTTTTCTCGGAAACTATATTGAGCGCATCTTACATATTCGCTTTTCTTTAGAAACAACACAGAGAACTGCACACGTTTCCCAATGATACTTGGCGACTTCAGGGTCACACATAGGGTCCATTACATTTACAGACCTAGCGCTGATGAAGTCACGTCTTATAGCGAAACGTCGGCTATAACGAAACGTCACCTATAAGGTTGCAAAACAAAAAAAGTTTTTTGCCAACCAGAGGACGAAATATCAGACGTCGATCAGAGCAAAATACTCTTCATCCGTCTCACATAAAGATTCACAGTGGTGCAGGACCGTTTAGTGAAGATGATACCTCCAACACCTAGCGTTGCTCATTTTGCTTCTCAATCGCTAAAAATTCGATATGCATTGCGTGACTCAACTTACAAAAGTAGAATAGTATCAATTCACTTCTTTGAACAAATACCTTACCATGAGACAACAAATGGTTGGGACACATTCACGCAATGTACTAAAGTTGTCGAATCTTCACACAAAACACGAGCTGGGAAATATACATACTCAAGATTTCACGTTTTCAAAACTTGCCGCGTTGAAACACAACGCAGGTTCTAAAATAATATTAATAGTACTATAGTAATAATAATAATAATGATGTACATGGGGCGATACAAACTCCAACAGTGGAAATCAGGAAGCAAGAAGAGCGAACATACTAAGCCAAGCCCTGCGTTTCTTACATTATCCATGACTGTATCAAGTATTGCATATTTCTTACCGGATTCGGCGTACGAGGCAGATCCGGCCAGGATAATCGCGATTGATTGAATCTGAAACAAAAACGCACGACAGCTATCAGATGTTGCCTTCCCAAACATTATCTGACCGACTTCTCAAACCATAAAAAGAATTTGCCCAGTGCGTGGAATGCTCTACTTCAAGACTCTGCGTGAACCCCAAGAACCCCTTAATATAATATTTTAAAAAATCGCGCATCTTGGACCTCCTGCGAGGGAACCTTGAAAGAGACGAAAACAAGCATCAGGTAAAGGTGTTCTGGAAAGGTTTGGGCTCGTGTTTGTGAGCACGGTTCAAACTTCCGCATTCTCATGAACCCAGTCAATTCGCCTACACTCCTATCTATCCCTTCTAGCGATTTAGCATTTCGCACTCTCAGGAGCTTGACGGTGTATGTACTGTCCTGCGATATGCTCTGAACGCCCGTTAATGGCATTCTTTGGAAACATTTGAAAACATACCGAAAAACGAGTTGTAGCGTGCTGCAATGGCCGCGCGATTTCACCGGCAAAAGGAGTGGGCGTCTCAGCGCACTGACATTATACGACCGTACTGGGTACCACAAAATCGTCTGATCGGAATTTAAGGCACGGTTGGTTTTTCGAGTGCACAACGTCACACGTAATACGTTAAATGTAGTTCTTCGCATCGCAGTTCAAACAAGGCATGAAAAACCAACTAGCCCAGTTCCAAGCACCATGGAATGAGGTGGAGGTTCTGAGAGTGTACAAAACAAGGTGGCGAAAATCAGCAAAGATTGTCTACATCGCAAAACAAATCTTTTGCTTTGTTTTAATGCGTACAACTTCCTTTTCAAGGAGGCGTCATCGTTTCATTGACATATTAAGATCCGAGTAATATATGAACTAGAACCATATCTTTGATGTAAGCTTTGATGCTTGCCGACCCTAAGATAATTCTAAAAATCAAATTGAAAAAAAAAGGACCAGCCATATACACACTCTAAGATATGTGTTTGCCAATCAGCCAATCACTGCAACCTACGGAGAGAGCTCGGCGACTGATGGACCTGAACATAATGTTTAGAAACAGAAAAACAGTTTGGAGAACATAATAGCGCTTCACGGCAGGGACGAAGGGTAGGAACGAGACAACACAATGCGCTAACTTCAACTGGTTTAATCGTCAGAAAATCAAAGGTATAAATACTCTGCATCATCGCGCCATTCAACCAATCCCAAGCCACGCCACTGATCGCAAGAACTGTATCTCTTTGTCTGCCAAATCGATCGACGCCACGCTGACACATCGATCCCCGTAGTTTCTTATCAGGTCCGCCTCTATAATTTCCCTTACCGTCTTATCTCTATGTTTTCTAATGACAGTGCACAAATTAAATTCAGGTTTGCACCCACAGTCATGGCAGTGCATCGACAAATGACCGTCACGCTGTCCGCTCACTTTTAGGTTGTGAGCGGACAGCGTGACGGTCATTTGTCGATGCACTGCCATGACTGTGGGTGCAAACCTGAATTTAGTTTGTGCACTGTTATTAGAAAACATAGAGATAAGACGGTAAGGGAAATTATAGAGGCGGACCTGATAAGAAACTACGGGGATCGATGTGTCAGCGTGGCGTCGATCGATTTGGCAGACAAAGAGATACAGTTCTTGCGATCAGTGGCGTGGCTTGGGATTGGTTGAATGGCGCGATGATGCAGAGTATTTATACCTTTGATTTTCTGACGATTAAACCAGTTGAAGTTAGCGCATTGTGTTGTCTCGTTCCTACCCTTCGTCCCTGCCGTGAAGCGCTATTATGTTCTCCAAGTTTCAGTACCAACTCGCCCAAGAATCCGCATTACTCAGAAAAACGGTGTCTGCACTGTGTGACGTAAACACCTGAAACGTGTGGGCAACCTGGGGATTCCAAGGGTTTGGCCCAGGAGGTTGCCCCTCCAAAAATCATGAGTGGTCATCTTCACCACGAGGGGGTCAAGGGGGCTCGGCCCCTGATAAAGGGCCGTCGCAGCGTATGCGCGGAGGCTGTTGGGATCGCGGCGCAGGCGATAGTGGTCATTGAATGTTTACGTGTTGGTGAACCAGTGTGCTGTGTCATTCCCCGAGACGGGTAGCAGCAAGGGAAATCCCACAAACGTTATGCTCGGTGTCAGCGCAGACTGCACCCACCCCCCTTTTTTGGTCTAAAGTTCTAAACATCATTTCAGCTCCGTCAATCGCCGAGCACTCCTTCCGTAGATTGGAGCGACCGTCTGTCCAAAGTTCTCTGCGGAAAAATATGCCCACAGGATCCTTTTTTTGTTTTGTTTTTATTGCAGGGTTCGATAGTAGCAGAGAGTGGCAAAAAGACTTACCACCGAGAGTAATCCAATGAGGATGTTGCCGGTCCTAAGCTCCAGAAATCCAAACACAGACTGCATCTTTCGTACGAGCTTTTTGCTCTCATCTGCAACCCCGCCGTGTGCTGTTGTTGTTTTGTTCTTCTCCTAGTCTTCACGACGCACTGTACCTCCGCTTCCCGGATATGACGTAGACAGTTCGCGATATCGCGAACGTCGAGTTCCACTTCCGTCTTTAGCAGCATAGAGCGTTCACGACGAGAGCTTCATTTCTGGGTGCAAACTCTCGGAAATTCCCGCGAATCTCATTATCGCTCCTCAACCAATGAAATTGCGACACTGACCGGTGAGAATCGTTAACATAATAAGCCACACCCCGCATTTCCTAACCTGTCAGTGACTACAGTCACTGACAGGTTAGGAAATGCGAGGCGTGGCTTATTCAGTTATTATGTTAAAGTTTCTTACCGGTCAATGCCGCAATTTCATCTTAGAGGGGCATATATTTTCAGTCATCTTAAATTGTGAGCGCACAAAATAAACAGATGATAAAGATGATGATGATGAATCATGGCAATTACCGCTGCCATTAACTGAAGGGATTCGAGGAAGATTCATACAAGCGTGTTTCAAGGACATCGCGGAGCAGTAATACGGGCCGAAAATGACTCGTAATTTGTTACGGATTACCGTTAAAAGTGCGTTTCAAATTCGTTACTACAATCGACACGGAAAAGAAACAAACAGGATATCATCTGAAATGAAACTACACCGAAAGGGTCAAAAAGCCTTTGAAGCAGTCGTGGGTCTTCTTAAAACCTAAAGGTCCAAAGTTTTATATATAGTTTCACGAAGTACAGTCTCTGACAATACGAAAGGCCCATTCGCCGAGGCAGTTAATTCGCCATTGCTAAGCACGCTTTAGTCGGAGCCACTTAAATTTTTAGAGAAAAAATTGAGCGAGGGTTCGTTTATTTTGTTGCAACAAGTGATCTGGGATTCGCCAAAGCAACTTCATCTGCACACTGCACAATCATCAGGTGAGCACGTTTTAGACGCTGCTCAAGGAACCAAAAATTATTTTAAAAAAAATAAATGCAAATAAGCTGAGTTTTACTCGCAAGAGAATGCTTTCATGTTTAGTACACCTGAATGTTCGGAAACGTGAGGATTAATTAAATCATATCGTCAACACCACGTGAAAAACCCAGGTGGTCTACGTGCGCTTATAATGATAATTATATTGAAGCTATGAAATATAGAAAACAATAAAGGCTTTTGGAAAGTCCGCACCAACACCTGTTCCCCATTGCTTGATCACGTGCTTTGAGCATATATTGGGCACGAGTGCTGACGTCAGCGCTCGGCAAGGACTCGGATCCAATCACGCGCTTCGTGCCCAAGGGTTGATGGATGCTAACGGCTGTGCCCTTTATATCGGGCGGCAGCTTGCGCCACCTGGTCTAGTTGTACGTCATTCAGTTCACCCTAGATAATTTCCTCCAGGTTTTCAAACTCTTCTTGCCAATGTTGCTTGATGAACTTTTGCGAAGTATTTTTCATGTAGCTTAATATATTCCCCAATGGGTTTATGCAGTGCTATTTACAATACCTGTGATGCCCTAAATACAAAACGGTGCAATCATTCTTTTTTTTTTTTTTTTTTTTTTTTTTTTGTTGCCGCGTGAGTTATGAGTTGTGAGGAATGTTGCACTGTTTGATGAGTCAGATAACAACGAAAGGATTGTGAAAGAAATTATTTTATGATCGGCTAAGAATGTCTACAAATATGCTGCGAAAGTTGTACTGCGAGTCAAAACTAAATGATATATTACTTGTTTCATTACTTTCCAGGTGAAGTTAGAAAATGCAGTTGCAGTATACAAGCAGAAGCGAAGTTCTAACGGGTCGACCTAATAAATCTCGGTAAATGGGTTCCTTCCCAGTCTTAAGTTGGGCGAGCACAGAAAACAATTATTTAGAGCTGACGTGTTGAGCGATCAACGCGGCTATAAGCGCCTTCCCAGCGATTATCATCCATGCCAAAAGTGACGAGTCACTGGACTGTTGACGCATGCACGGCATATGATATGCTACACAAGAGTGCTCCCACAATTGGCACAGTGTTTTGGGCCGAACTTTGGCTTCCGTCTGGGAAGTGAGGGCCTCAGAAAGCCAACAGAAGACGTGGTAGAGCCAAACTTGACCTTCTTTAGCCAGAGTCTGCAGGTATCTTGGCCCTAATTCGCCAAACAAATGAAAGAGTTAAGCTTCACTTTCAGTTGTTCAGTTTTTTTTTTCTTTGTTTTCTTTATCTGTTAATTTTGGTTTAAGCACTGAGTGCCAGATCTAGACTTCCCTGCTAGTTCTTCGCTTCATACGTGGCACCAAGTCTGGCACTTAAGCAACTATGTGTCAAACCAGAGAAACGCCACAAAACAAATTCGGCAGAGACACTTAAGGCTGCTTACGTGTAGGAATGCGAAAGCCTTCCTACACGGAGCGCATTCCTACAAGCAACACGCCACGTCCTTTCGCACACGGCGCACCGGCGGTAATATCATCACGCTCCCCCACTGCGCATGCGCGGCGAACGCTGCCAGCTTCACGACGGTTTCCGTGACGAAGCATTGCGTTGCTGTGCTTTTCTTTGTGTTTTATTGGGAATGGGAATTCAGGGGCCGTTTTTCTGCTGCAGACGGTTGCGGACAACGGGTAGAGACAACGCCACCTTCGCTCTATGGGACAGTTAATGCTTTAGCATTCAAAGGTACTCTGGAACACTAAAGCCTTTGAGAAAAACCGTTTTAGACTCAAGCTAGGCTCCTAGGATTGCCAAGCTTGTGTCAAATTGGGCTTTTTCCAGGTATAGGCTACCTGGGCCATTGCGCACGTATAGATCCCAATAAAGATGGCAGCGTGCAGAAACTGTTTCTTGCGAGGGTCTATACAAGGGGTGGTTTATCCTTTTTCTGTTTCTAATTCGTGTCGCAAATGTAACCCGAGTTTAAGGTGGGAACTGGGTGGTTGGTGTACACGATACTCACAACGAAACTATAAATGACGTTACTAAAGTGTTGCACAAAATAAGAATTTTGACCCGAGTAATCGCTGAACTTCATTCGATTGATTATTACCATTCATTGGTCTGGTCTGTAGGTTGGCGACATTGTTAAACTATTTCCAAACCCTAAATATAGAAATATACATTCGGGAAATGCAATTCCCAATTCTCTTATAGGTATAGAATGGAGTAAGTTTTAGACAATTCTTTATTTTTGTCTTTTTATGCGATTGGTGGTGTCAAATTATGGGAGCGAAAGCAGCGTTTTACTGGTAACTTCACGAAGTAGTTATGTAACTAAAAAAAAAAAAAACGTTAGATGTGCGGTATTTAATGATAAAAACACCTTAGTGCTAAAAAAAAGCGCTAAGGTGTTTCACTGATCCTTTTTTTTATTATTATTATTTTTACTGAAGAAAGATAGAAAACGGAGCGGAGAGTTAATGAAAAACAAATACTATCCAGAAACAACCTAAGCAGAAACTACAGTGTCTCTTTTAGACAATTTATTTATACGTATTTTTGTACAAGTTACCAATAGAACACTATTTCTTAAATAATGCAGAAAATGACAAGCTTATGAGATTAAGTTTTACCGACAGACTGACAAAGTCAAAGTATCTACACTTCACTCACTTTTCCCACCCATCATAATAAATAGCAGTATTACATACATACATTCCATTCAATTCGACCAATCACTCCGCTAATAAAGCAATCGGCGATTAATCAATTAATCGAACGATCGAGAAGTCATCTGATTCATTTCGTAGCTTTAACCACTACTTGTTCCTAAGTCAAGAAGCAACGAAGATAAATGTCTCGTCCCTTTTCGCGAAAATTAAGGCCGTTACACTGATGTAAGGAAAAACTAACTAGTCACAAGTGCGTTACTTTAACTAGCTGTGTTAACGACTAATTAAATCCGGCTATTTCATATGGCCTGCCTCATTAACACCCCCAAAAGTTGGCAAGAAGAGGAACGATGGAGAAGCAATAAAACGATAACAAACATAACGCAAGAGAACTGAACGAGCAACCTTCACACCAGAGATGCCAACCGAACCTTACAGAGCGTTCTCCCGACTTTATCCCTACAATAGCACCATAACATCAAGAACAAACAAACAAGAACCAACACCGCGCAGTTTTGTCTCCTTTTCTTTTTTCGCACAGCAAAGAACGGTCGCTATTTCTGGAACCGCCACACCACACACACCCCTCCCAGTCTTCGAAAGCCGCCTTGGAAACTTTTTTTTCTGCTTTCGAGACTGTCACACTCTTCGTTTGCGAAGACTCGGAGCGTGAAGGGCTGGGTGTTTAGGGAGAGTTTTTCTTTCTCGTTCCTTGTCTACGCCACATTTTGTCCGATTTGTCACTCGCTTGGTGCGAGACTAGGGGATCGACTCTTCGAGACTTCGTCAGAGCAAGCTCGTTGCAGCAAGTCGAGCGTCCACCACTATAGACTTCCCGTGTTGTCCCCCCAACTCTTTCGCGAAAAGCGTTTGGGTAGGCAGGATTCAACGAAACGGAACAACACCTCGCTTCCTCAACTAAAGCGGGTGAGTGGAACTTTCGCCTATTGCCCCCCATTTTCTACCTCGGGGGACGCAGTGACGTACACCGTCTGTCATAAATTAGTCGGCTCCGAAGCTGTTATGTCGTTCGCTGTTGTTTTTGTTTTTGTTTCTTTAAAATTCACCTCAACGAGCTCAGACATACACAAGTTCGCCAACTCTACCAAAACACGGTTGACTGAACGAGTCGCAGCAGTGCTGAGTTCGCTTTCGATTTCAGCTGGCGTAATTTACGCTCGGTGTTTCTTTATGATTAATACCATTTTTGATTTCTTGTTTCTGTTGCATCTTCTGGGTGTTGTATACGATTTTGGTTCCACCAGCCGAACCTCTTCAAATGAACAGTACGTGCGCCGATTGTGCTTTGTCGCACCACACGTGAGCAGAGCACACTCGTTTGTCGCAAGTTGACGACAATGCAACTTTGTAAATACTGTCGACAATAGGAATAAGTCTTTGCGTTCGTCATGTCTTAGAACACACTTTTATAAACTTTGCCGGCAGCGTGAGTCACATTTATTTAGCGTTCCTTTTTTTGTTCCATATAGTATCTGTATTTGTTTGCATTCGTGACTTTTTGTATTCATGCAAACTTCTATTTTAGTTCTGTTCAACGTAACCTTCTGTGTGCGTCATTTTTTTTATTAGCACACTCTATTCTTTATGACGCCCTCTCTATGTAATGTCCCTTCCTTGCCTTTAAAGGTATTTAGATACATAAAAATGAATATATATATATATATATATACTATAAAGACATGTACTACTTCATATACTATGAAGTAGTACAATATACTACTTCATATACTGTGAAGAAGGTTCAAGGGATCAGTTCTATTAGCTTCAAGTTGCGTGTCCCTAAAATTTTCGGAATTTGTCATGCGAACAAAACGTGACCACGAATATATATTTCAATGTACTTAACATGTCAGATCCAGCAAATCAGCCGGGTAAGTTGCAAGCTTCAGAGCGTCGGCAACTTTTGTAGAATTGGTAGGGAAAAACCGAATTGCAGACAGCAAAACAGAGGATCTCAGGAAGATTTTTTCCTTAGATTTTTACTTCATTTTAAGGCTACATAAATCTGCTTCTGACCCTCTGAGATGTAATGGCCCCCATGATCACGTTGTTAGAAGCTGATAAAGACACGTTTTCAAGGTTTTGGCCTACGGGTTTACCAAGAAAACGAATTCTCACACTCTGCACAAATCCGAAGAGAAAAACAAATAGTCACAGAGGTCTATTTAAGGTTAAATAACAAAATAAATTGCACTTTATGGCAAGCAAAATAAACACTGAAGAAATAAAAATACCATATCGCGAGGTAAATAAATGATAAATAAGTAAGGGGTCAGTGGCCACGTTCATATCGGGTTTGTGCTAAACCATCTGGGAATTATATAGATATAGGGAACGACCAAGGCGGCATAGATGTCATACACACGGTAAAAAAATAAAGTAGAAAAACGCCGTCAAAATTCGATTAAAAATAAAACTCGGAAACATCAACACACACAAAAAAAAAAAATTAGTTGGCAGCGGTGGGATTCGAACCCACGCCTCCGAAGAGACTGGTGCCTTAAACCAGCGCCTTAGACCGCTCGGCCACGCTACCGGTGATGGGAGAGGATAAAATATGTGCTTTTTAACAATGATGGGCGCAAAAAGTTTAACTAATGCTTTTGTTGCATATTTATATTCCTAATTCAGCCCGAGTAATTTTTTTTTTCTATTTTTACATTGTTTTTTTTTACCCGGATTTATTATTTATATTTCGGACTAAATGCACTTGACGGCTTTCAAGCAAGAAAAGTAGCGAACAGTGCCTGCCAGCTTCATCGAGTCACCAAAAGATGGCCGCACGACACCGCCGAATATCTGAGTGCCTAGATCACAGAGTGGTTCCCACAACTCGATTGCGATACGAGCTGCGAGGAGGTGCGAAGCCGTTGATCGTCTGCATGCATCTCGGCCTTTCCACCGGTGTTTTTCCTCGTCATGGAACAACGCAACGCATGCACATCTGCGACCTATACGTCCGCCATTAAACTGCAAATGGCTTTCCGTGGCTTCAGTTGCTCCCTCTCTTAAACCTGGGCTCTCTATGAGTATCGACATCGACTGCGAACGGCAACGGGAGGTGGGAGTTGGCTACAAGCTGCCGTCCGCCAGCTGTAAACAAAATAAAACGAACCCACAACAGCTGACACATGGAGGCCTCTCTCCCGCGGCGAGATAGCGAACAGCGCAACGGCGGAGTGCCGTGTGCCGTCGTCGCGGCTAGTTGCCCCCCCCGAGGTCGGCAATCGCGACGCCGGCGTCGCCCCGTTCACGCATTCGGTAGCCCTGACTGGCGTTTCGCCGTTGTTGATACTGCTAACATTTGATGGAAGAACAACGGCTGCATCGACGGAGTACTCCACGGTGAGTGCACCAAGCGTGTAGCGACTGTGGGACTCTATCTCGTTCGTAATAAGCGTTTACTTGGGCAGATCTCTTGACACGGAAAGCGACTAACCCACACCTGCCGGGCTGGTTAATTAGTTCAATGTTTTGTCGCTAGGGCGTTGCAATCGCGCGAGGCGCGCTATTTGAACGGTTCTTAGGATGGACTAGGCGTGCTTAGTCGTCAGAAAAAGATGGAGTCTGGAAAAAGGTGTATAGTTATGATTATTAAGGCACATTCATTACCATTTAAATTAAACTGAACTGTAGGAAATTGGAAGGCTCATTCGAGATTTGTGCGACTTCAAAATTGGAAGAAAAAGTTTACTTACTATTGTCTCGGCGTCACCTGATTATTATTTATTGTGCGGCTAATTAGTAACTCAGGGTGAAGTCAAAACTCCGCAAGACTGAGTTCACTGGAAGTATCAGAAGATAAAAGGAATCACGGAAAACATAATTTGATATAAACTACGATTGTGTGAACAAGCCTTCAGTATCGCCAGTGGCGCATACTCTGCACTGCCACAACAGAGTCGGAGAATGAGGTTTTCGTACTCTAAAACCTTAGTTACAACAGTTCAGTGTGACTTGTGCCAAATACTTAGCAAAAGTATTTAAGATAAGATACTAAATACCCATTTGAAAATGTATTTAGAGTAGTATACAAGTCACTTTCAGTACCAGCTATCTTGAGAAGAGTATAAATACTTTGAAAAGGTTAGTGAATCACAGTCGAAGGTACTTGGCAAGTATGTTTGAAGCTGGTAAAGTGAGAATAAAAAAGCCAGAAAAGGGTGCTGTATTTGTGACGGCCTTGCTGAAAATCGCATTTCATTTTGATATGACTTTCGAGAAGCACCCTAGCGGCTGTAATTGAAGTTTACTTTGAAATAATTCGGTATATGCAACAAAATGGGTACCGAAATGTTTTAGGAACAGACAAGACTCAAAAAAAAATAATAAAAGGTTGAGGGGGTTAAGAGGGAAACACAGGAAACAGAGGAGAGTGCCCACGAAAACCGCTTCGAAACCCCCCTTCCCTGCCCCCTTTTACACCAGTTCAAATCATTCTTGACGCATAGAGGTCAAGGGAGACTGACACCCCCCCAATTTTTTTATTTATTTTTTTATTCATTTTTTATTAGTAGGGATATGAAGGGAAAAAGAAGTGCCAAAGGAAAGTAGGGGAACGACGTCTCGACCAAACGGTCTTCATCAGGTAGGTATACCTGAAGAAGACCGTTTGGTCGAAACGTCGTTCCCCTTCTCTTTTCTTTTTTTTCTTTTTTTTCGGGGGGGGGGGGGGGGGGGCGTGGGGGCACTTTTTTTCCCTTAATATCCCTACTAATCCTACTAATACACTAACAGTGCCCAGCAGAACCCCACATCTTCAGTTTCTAACCATTTTATATTTTGTTGGCACTTGGAGACAGCGTTTTTGTCGTGATTGTTTTCTGTTCTGTGTTCGGTCGTTTGGCTGCAAGTTTGCTATCAGTTCGGCTTTGTCTTGGATCCTGACGATCCCAAGTTCCGTGAATTGTTCCGGCGACAATTTTTTTCCAAGGTTGCAAAATGTATTTCAGATACTGAGTACAAGATAGTGACAAAGGTAATTAAGATAGAGAAGCAGGTACTATAGACGAAATGTATTTGCAGGATACCAAAATACTACCGAAAGCATTTGAAATACAGTGTATTGAGTAGAGTATTTAAGATAGGCACACGTCTGCCTGGTAGCTATCGACTTCCTCTCCAGAATTCGATCGGCTTAAGTGGAAAGAGATTGGAGGAGCTTCCACTGAACTCCTAACCTGTCACCGACTATTGGAGACTATATGTTTTGGTGACGCCACCTTGCGGGCGCTCTCCTTCGACGGAACTGGCACGATGCGAGCAGACGACGCGCTATGTAATAGCATGGAATGGCTATGTTAGTTCGAATCTGTCCCGATTAAAAACGGTTTATTTAATAAAGAAACGTGTATGATGTTTTGGGGAGTCATCTTTCTAATTAATAACAGCGCCTTGGAGTTGCTTTTTATATTAAAATAAACCTGAAAATGTTCAAAAACAAGCCTGGAACCTCACATAACAGCTCGCGCGGCGTGTGCCAGTCTTTCTGATTTTTGCTTCTTTTTTTTTTTTTTTTCGGATCTGTGGCGGCTTTTGTATAGAAAAGGGTTTTGTATTCACCAGAGTAAATGCCGTGCTCTCACCTTAACTGTGCACGCGATATCGGAGCTTGACGATACCGACGCTTCTATCCAAGTGTGACTCGACAGTTGCTGACGAACAAATGCTCGTCAACAACTCACGCTTATAGCTCCTCCCCCATCCAACAAGTGGCAAAGAAGTTTGTCACATCGCGACTTCTGCTCGAATGAAAAGCAGACATTTTCATAAATTCTTAAATTGTCGGACATGGCCTGGCAAATTCAGACGGTTGATTAATTCGTCCTATCTAATTTTTAGTAAGAATAGTTTACAAATTTAAAATCGGTCGCTGAGAAGCGCATCACGCATTACGCAAAATTCGTTGAGATCATTTTTTTTTTTTTTTTTTTTTTTTTGCAAAAAGAAAAATTTAAATGGTACTAATTCATAGTAGGCTCATTTTTTGGGGAAGTTGCAGCGTAACCGACTTAAGACTTCGATCGCGAGGGGGTCTTGCACGTTTCGCGCCGAATGGGTGAATTAGCAGGGATTTAATTGAAACGACTCCAGCTGCCGCTTCTTCCTGCCAGTTATTTTGAGGAAATGTTTGTTCACTGGTTTACAAAATTTAAAAAGGAATCAACTTGGATTTAATAGGAGACCAGCACTCACAAAACACATTGGAGCAAACAGGACGCACGATACACGGAGTCGCTTTCACTGAAGTAGAAGATATAGCAAGGGTGCAGGCGAGCTGGTGAATATTAACCACGTTGAATAACCTGAGACTGAGGTACAAAAGAAACATCAAAACGTAGAAGGAATGTCGTCCTGTCTATTTTCGGTCTCTTCTACGTTTTGATGTTTCTCTTCTACCCCCAGTTTCAGGTTAATTCAACGTGGTTCACTGCGTGTTTACAACACACGCGAGAGATTCTCGAATTTCTCTTTCCTATTTTCAGTTTGATGAGACACTCTTCTCTCAGTTTTGTTTTGTCCAAATAATGATAGTAAAGCGCTGGATATTCTATTTACATTATCCAGCTTCTTGTACCGGGGTAGAGAGTAGCGTCCCGCCATCCGAGCGCTTCGACCACTCGGCGCCAAAAGTGTGAAACAGGCTTTGCCGCGCGTTACCCATACAGCGCATGAAGCGAGCTGACGAGCTGACGGATCCTAGATTCGTGCGGTCCATCGTACCCGCGATGGACCACACACGTCATAAATAGGGCTCCGTGTTTTCGGATAAAACCGAAAAACTCCAAAAAAACACCCGCCGGTAAAATTTTGGTCAATTCGGATTTATCCGATAAACTCCGAATATTTATGTGTCAATGCCACCCCCCCCCCTTCCCCCCCCCCCCCCCCAAGACAAAAAAAAATGTTTTTTTTTTAACAGTTTGATTAGCACAGAGCCAATGATCCTGGGAAAATTCCACCATAATTATCTTTCAAATCTCGGACCGTTGTCAAAAGAGTTCTTGTCGCTTGTCTCTTCAAGGTTGATTCAGGGCAACAGGTCGTTCGTTGTACATTCGGGTCACGACAAAAGACACTCTTTTGGTTTCCGGTTTGAGCCATGCGATTTCTGATTTAGAGAAACGAAAGGGTATACGTTTTAGAAACAGTGAAAGCTATGAACCAGGGATTGTATAAAATTGGGAAGACGGGCAGATCAAACTCTCTATTACCACCTCGCGCGGCCGCGGGCTGGATTGATGGAATAGGATGGGGTGACTACGAGCTTCCTAGCGACTACCTCCGGGAGTTTATTGATTTTAAGGTATCGGCGTTTACCGAAGCGCCACTTGTGTGCGACTTTTGTCGTGGATAAATTAGTATTGCACCAACGCCAAATTCAACGGAAGATATTTCAATTGATACAAGCGCGTTTTATTTTTTATCTGGCATACGTTTACATTCTGTTATTATTTATTTATTTATTTTAATAGGAAACCCAGCGAAATTAAACTCCGAATTTCGGAGAATAGGGAATCAAAAAAATATAAACTCCGAAAAACACCCTCCGATTTTGACGAAACATAAACTCCGAAAACACGGAGTCTTAGTCATCATCATCGTCATCATCATCATAATGCCTTTATTTGTGCCAATTAACAACCAACAAAGGTCTACAATGTGGCACAGTGAAAAAAAAATTGCAAAACTCTAAAACATGCTCAACTCATAAAACTAGCATGCATCAAAACGCGACAGTACATTTTTAGCGACGGAAAATAATCTTATCTAATTGTCAACCGAGATTTACGTAGCTATCAAAAATATCAAACTTTTCATGCCCAAGATTGTTTACACTTGTCTGCACTTGTTGTTGGTGATGTCATGTGTTGATTGTGGGGATAAAAAGTGAGAGCTGTCCCATTTGAGCGAGTCGGTACGTTAAAGTTCACTGTGAACAAAAGTGTTGAGTCAATGTCCCCGTGAACTATTTTATACAAGAAGGCAACATCGCGCGATAATCTTCTGAGGGATAGACACTGTAGGTCAAATTTGTCGAGCAGGAGTTGATAGTTGTAAAAATGCCTTCGGCCAAGGTATTTGTCATGGATTATGCGCACAAAACGTCTCAGAACTGACTCTATTTAAGCTGCATCACGTAGTGTCAGTGAATTCCGCACCACAGAGCCAAAGTCTAGTCTCGATCTGGTACTAGAACAAAATAAACGAAGGAAACAAGCATAGTTCGCAAACTTTCTAGTTAATCGAGTAATCATTCCAAGTAATCTAAATGCAGAACAGGCAATATGGGCGACATGGCAGCCAAATGATAGAGTAGTGTCAAAGTACACTCCGAGATCACGAATCGATGATACTCTTAAAATGCACTTATCATCAATTGAGTATGAATAGTGTATAATTTCACGTTTTTTCCTGAAAGACATGACCTTAGTTTTTTCTGGATTGATGATTAAGCAATTTTCCCAACACCAGTCTAAAATATGCGGTGCGTCACTCTGAAGAAGGTCACAGTCATCGATCAAACTAATACTTAAAAAGAGCTTGATGTCGTCTGCGAATAACAGCACGTTTGAGTTTACTACGCAAGTAGATATCTCATTGACAAAGATCAAAAACAATAGTGGACCCAAATTGGAGCCCTGTGGTACTCCCGATGACGGATAAAAAGGATCAGAGAAGTTATTTAAAATGCGTACGACACAACGACGGTCAGTCAGGTAGTTTCAAGCCACAATAAAAGCACAGGAGAAACGCCATTACGTGACAATTTGTGCAACAGCAAAGCGTGGTTCACCTTGTCAAAGGCTTTCGAGAGGTCAAAATAAACAACGTCAACTTGACCGCGATTACAAACAAAAGGCACTGAATAATCAAGGAAGGTACAGAGGTTTGTCTCGACTGAGCGCCCCTTGATAAAACCGTGCTGAAAGGAACTGATACAGCGCTTGAAATAAAAAGACAGACGGGTGTGCATCACTATCTCAAATACCTTTGAAAAAGAACATAGCAATGATACAGGGCGATAGTTCCCAACTTGCGAAGTATCCCCCGTCTTATGGATAGGAACAACAATAGACTCTTTCCACAGAGATGGAAATGTACCCTTACTCAATGAAATATTAAATATATGCTCTAAGATAGGCTCAAAAAGATTCGAGCAACCTTTAACAATAAAGTTAGGCACATGATCTGCACTAGATGTTAGTTAGTCATAAACGATGATGATGATAGCTAGAGAAGCGCCCCCTGTAGTTCGCGCACGCCTCCAATAGGTATAGTTGACAGTAACCGCTAAGCATGCATAAGCGTATACGGTTTAGGATTCCCGTCGGACACACTTAACGGCAGTTAAGTCTGACGGATTTCAGTCTCACTTAACTGCGGTTAAGGTACACGTGTAACTAGATATAGTTCGCAATAACTGCTAAGCATACTTAAGCGTAACTGCGGTTTAGGATGCCCGTCGGGCACCATTGCCTGCAGTTCAGTCTGATCTCAGTCTGCGGTTAAGGGTACCCGTGTAAATAGGTATAGTTGGTAGTAACTGCTAAGTATACTTAAGCGTACGTTTAGGACGCCCATCGGCGTCCTAAACGTACGCAGTTAGTGGGCGCCCGTGAGACTCTACTCCATGTCACTCGTTGTGTTCAGTGCAGGCAAAGGCAACGCCAGGCGAAGAGAGAAAGGGCAAGCACTAGGAAGGCGGGACTGGAGAGGAGGAAGGGGGAAGAAAAAAAGAGCACCAGGAACGTTAGAGAGGAGAGGATGTTTCTCTCCTCCTTCCCAGCCTTTCTAGTGCTTGCCCTTCGCCTGGTGTTGTCTTCGCCTGTACTGCATGCACGCCCGTGTAACTAGGGTATAAGCATAGGCGTAGACTTCGGAAAAGCATCAGGGCTCGTGCCCCCCCCCCCCCCCCCCCGTGCCTGGGCCATCATCCTTACCGAGACGCTGTTTACGTACCATGTAACGAGCTTCTAGTAGTGGCATGTAACTAAAACATTGCCCACGTTGCCTTTATTGACAAAATACATGGGAAATGGAATCCCAGCGTGCTTTCGTTAGCTTCAATTTCCAGTTCTGGCAAAAAGATAACGCCGCAACCCCCCCCCCCCCCCCCCCCCCCCCCTGGGAAAATGGAAAGTCTACGCCGCTGGGTATAAGTGTAGCTTATTTATTGGCTCCAGTTCCCGCTTCATCCACAAAGTGACTCGGTCTCAAAGATGAAGTGTATCTCTCTCTACAAAATGACCGAACTCAAAAAGCGCCCCTGGCCGCGTTCGCAGCCTTGCGTCGCAAGACATGCGGTCGCTTCCGATGAGCTCCGACTTCCACGACGACGTCCGGTTCGGCTCCATGGTGAGCCGGAAGTACTGCTGCGCTTCCGGACTGGCCATTTCCGTCCTGGGCGTCATCTGCGGAGTGCTGCTAGGACACTTCGCCATGAAGACCGCCGTCAGGGACGAGCGGGAAGCCGCTGACCCTGGTCTTCAGCAATCAGCCGAAGGCGCTGAACGGGACATCACGGCGTTTCTGGAGACCTATGACTACGAGGGAATGCTGAGGTGAGGTCATGACCATCTCCTTAGGTGCCTAATGATAGTCTTCAATATACAGCTCATCTGCTGTTTCTGGTGCCATCAACGTAATGGCATAAGTATTCTGTTCTTGGGTCGTTCGCAACTCCCAACACATCAAATTGTCTTCCTATCGAAAAAAAAAAAATCATATCTTGTTTGTTTAATGAAGATATGAGAACTTAATAAAGTATATAACTTGAGTATAAGGCGCATGTGACTTCTGATAAGATCGTATATGATATCTTCTGTTTCTTGGACGCATATATATGTTTTGACTGAAGTTTAGAACGCAAAGATTCTGTCAGGCATCGTGCCTTTAACTCTTCCCCCTACACAGCGAAATTGCAAAATAAATCAAAAAAATTATCGCAGAATTCGATTTTTCGGGGATCAACCAACATATCCCGCAATAATGAAACCGACGCGCTCGCTATTTTCAGGTGCGATGAATGAGTTGATTTGATTCTTGACGTCACGGTACGTTAGGCCAGCGCCACGAGCGGCCGGTCGGCTTGGCGACGTAGCGCCGGCGGTGTGCCGGCCGAGCTGTGACAAAGCATCACATCTCTTTGAAGAGCTCGTGACTTGAATGCCTTCTTAAGAAATCAGTGTCATACATATGCAGCGCCATTACTCGTCTTGGAAGGGTGGAGTCTGGACCTTCGGTTCCCGCGCATAGATCCCCAACACACCGGCACAAAACATTTCAGGCGTCGTCCCTCACAAGCGCACACTAAGGTACGAACTGCCCATAATAGACCTTTCTATCGCTTATCACCCAGGCGAGAAATGCTGAGTCACTGAGCTGTGGAGGCATGCACAGCGTCTGATATACCGTACAGCAGGGCAACAGCGCATGCTCAGAAGGCGTTCCACAACCCAGCAGACAAAGATGGCAGCGACCAGAAGGCGATTTTCGGGAAGGTCTATACTCTTTTCACACGGGGATGAAATGTAGTTGTTTGTCGTTGTCGCCGCTTATCGGGGTCGTCACCCCCGTATATGTCTTATTTCTCAACGTTTTGTCATGCTAGTGATTACTGTCTGCAATAAAATCCAAGTATAGCAGCTTTGAACCAACATTCTATTCAACGTCGATCACAACGTAAACATACAGAAACAAAAAGAAGAAACACAAGTCACTCGGGCAGACAGGAAGCCTTCGTAAACTTCATCGGTACGTGTTCGGCGTCACGGAGCAAAGCCAGCGAACAGCTACGCGTCATTCATAGCCTTCATAGTGCTAAGGAAACCTGCGATACTCTGACTCCCTTTACAGTGCTGACCTTAAAGTACATCTCAGGCCTAAAAATAGCGATCGTAAGCCTTCACGCTTCGGGTAAGCTTACGTACGTTCAATTACGCTGCTAAATTATCAAATTAAAATAACTAAGATTTCATCGGGAAAATAATTCCAGCAGCTAAGATTTCGCCACTCGACGAAACCTTTGACGTAACAAGACACTACAGCCACTCATCGTGATGTCATGGCCTTTGCAGTTCCCGTCTTTACCAACATGGAGCTCCTCCCCAGAGACACCCGAGGTGTATATGTCGGACAAACTGGCAGATGGCTCACGATCGGCTGCGAGGGCTTCATAACGACCAGGGATGTCGCGAACCACCCCAAGGTCGATTTCGAAAAATTTCGATATTTTCGTACCGACCGAGGTTCGAATTCGAAAAATTCGCAACTTTCGATCACAGTGGAGCTTCGAATTCGAAAAGTTCGAAGCTTTCACGGTTTCTAAAATTTCGGATTCGAATATTTCGAATATTTTTTTACTTCAAGTTCGATAAATTCGAAGATTTCGAAATTCTTTGGAAATAAATTCGAAAACTTCGAACGTTTCGAATTTTTATAGACATGAAGTTCGAACAAATCGAAGATTTCGATTTTCTTTCTGCATGAAGTTCGAAAAGTTCGAAGGTTTCGATTCTCTTTTAACGCTAAATTGGAAAAAAAAAAAGAAAAAAAGCTTCGAAGATTTTTAATTCCTTTCTAGTCGAAGCTTTCGAAGTTCGAAGTCCGGTTTTCAAGTTCCTCCACAGTTTGTTTCAAATAACGTTTTCACGACTCACTGGTTTTCAAAAAATCAAGTTTAGAAAAGTTAGGGTGTGATATCTAGATTCTGCGAAGTTGGTCAGGCAATTAAATGAGACGACGAGTGTCCCGGATGTGCTGGAATATTTGCCAGTGCAGAGTGACGTGTGACCATGGATCAGTAATTGTGACTGCCAACCCCCGGGGGGGGGGGGGGGGGGGGGGGGGGTCTTTAACCTGCATCACGCAGTCGTGATCACACGAATACACTGTTTTACGAGACTCGTCCAGTTCGAAACGGCCAGGGACGAGCAGGAGGTTGAGGCTCAGAAAAACCTTGATGCGACCTGGCAAACTATACCTCGCCACCCCTTGCACGCTGGTAGTAATCCGATCGAACGCCGCCCGAGAGACGCTGGCATATAGTAATTTAAGTTTGTAATTGTCCTGGAGGTTTATTTTCTGGGACGGAGGAATCGCCTCGCAAAAAACCGACACAACTCGAGGTCGAGGAGTGTTCTACCATACGAGTGGCGTCGGAAAAGGAAAAACGGGGGGTAAGAGGGTAGCGGGAAGGGGGGGGGGGCTTTAGTTTTCTTCCCCCCTTCCAGATATTTCGGACTGTTAAAGAAAACATTACGGGGAAAGAGGGCGTGATCGAGCTTATTTTAATCTGAAATTATTTATGCATATGTATAGCTATACTGTCGCTCTTCACTGCATAAAAGATTGCATAGATGGTCATTGTTAGAAACTCGTTTTCAGAAGGCACTACTCGTCACATGCTTAGTGGTTCGGTAGTTCAAATTCTATGTCTTTTTGACCTAAATACCTGTGCCAATAATAAAAAAATAAAATAAATGCGGGGATAAAAAGCTGGAGAAAAAAAAACTGTCAAGAATTCGCCGGAAGTGTTGTATTCTTGCATATTCAGTGGTTCAGAACTTCGAAACAAGTTTCTTTTACCAAAATGTGTACAGGCTAAAAGAAACACGTCCCAGGAACGTGAAGCGACAAAAAAAAAGTTTTCTTTTAATGACGTGCTGAACTTGAACACTATTAGAAATCTTCTCCCATGAGTTAATTTATTCCTTAGCGTGAAAAAACAATAAATACATTATTTTGTATTCTGCAAATGGCAATGATATGTACTGTCTGTGGTGTTAATATAAATGCGGTAGCTCAAACAACTTAGACGAAAATAAATATCAAGTTTAGGGCATAATTGCATGTAGGTACATGTTTGGACATTTCTTCGAAACTCACGTTGAATAACAATAATTACATCTTAAGACGGCACTTACCTAGGATATATACATAGATCATTCTTAAAAAAGTATAACAACTTTACCACAAATAGCTTCCGCTACAGCGCGCTTCAAATCTGGCACAAACGATAGTCGTCAAAAACCCGTAGTCCTTCCTCGCCCCTTTGGGAGTTTATTTCTTTAAAACTAAGCATGCCAGAACATTGAAATGAACGGCATTGTCTTTCGCAAGGAACGCAGCACCGCGTGTAAAGGTTCGAGAAAAAAAATTACGAATGTACCTCACTACTTGAATTCAAATGAAACCGTCCACTGGACTTTCGAAGTTCGACGAACGTCGAACTTTTACCCTAAAAGTTCGAAGTTCATCGAACTTCTGACTTTTGAAGATTCTAAAGTTCGAAAATTTTCGAATTCTCTTCATAAATAAGTTCGAAAGTTCGAAATTCATCGTATTTTTTGGTCAGTCAAGTTCGGAAGTTCGACAAGCATCGAACTTTGCAGCGCAATAAGGTCGAAAGTTCGAAAAATATCGAATTTTTTTGCGTAATAAGTTTGAAGGTTCGAAAACCGTCGAACTTCTTAGCTTAACAAGGTCGAAAATTCGACTTCCGTCGAATTTTACGATGTAGACAATTCGAAAAATCGAAATCTTTCGAACCTTCGAACCGCTTGATTCGATCATCGAAACTTCGATTCGAAAAACAAATAACGACACGAACAACAGCTGTGTCTGGCCATCTAATGATTCACTGCCGAGACAGTTGTTGTGCTCCCCAGTTCACAAAATGCACTCCATCGGCTCCGAAAATTATATTTTTACCTCGAATACACTAATTTCAGGACTTTTTGTCAGTGTTCGCTGAAACACCTGGTATATCTAGCTTCATAGCTTGTTTGATTTATTCTTATCGCACGCGGCGTCTGCACTGATTGCGCCGAATATGTCGTGCAGCAAGCTGACATCGATGCCAAAACTGGGCGGCACGGAGGCGGACAAGACGTCGGCCGAGTTCATCGAGAAACTCTGGACCAGGCAGGGGCTGCACGGCGTTCACCTGAAGTCCTACAAAGCCTACCTCTCCCATCCCGACCCTGTGCGACACAGTAAGGTCGGTGCACCTTTGAATGCTACTCCGCTTTACCTTCAATCCGACCGCAGTCGACCGTTCCATTAAGGTCATAGCAGAGAGGGTAAAAAGAGAAAAAAAAATGCCCTCCCCCTCTCACCCCTATGTCCTCTGCTCCGCCGAGTGGGCTGTACCTAGCACCCGGCTGGCGTACAAACTCTGTTTAAAATCGCGTCATTTTGGAAATTTCAAGCGCAGATGCGCAGATTTTGGTTTGCCAGTTATCGTGTAGTATTATGCTAGATAAAAAGAGCAACAAGGTTGCTCTTTTGCGTTGTTACCTGCGTGCAAATAAAAAACAAAAATAGAGAAAACTGTGTCAGATTGGCCGGTCTCTCCGGCGAAAAGTAAATCCGGTTACTGTACCTTTTTTACTATACAAAGTTTGTACTGGTGTAAGCCTTTAGCTACCATGAGTGGAAGTCTGACATACTAAATAAAAACGTGCTCTCCTGCCGCAATACACGCAGTAGCTGAGGGTAGTACTGCCGGCTGACTCAACTGCTATTTAAGAAGCGGAAAAAGGATATGCTAGTTGATCATTTAGCGAAATAGAACAACAGAGAGCTATAGGCTGATTTTGGAGTAGCCATAACTATTCTAAGAACGCGAACCACTTCACAACGGCAGCCACGAGCGAGAGTTCGATGTTCCGTACAGCCCGCCGGTACAGTCCAAAGATGGAGAATGGCAACCTCCCGGTTTGTCGTCTGCTAGCGGAGTGGGGCGCGTGCCCTCTCTCTCGTTTTACCCCACCGAACCAGCTGAATTTCCCGGATGTATGGAGAGGGCGCTGCTGTCGAACAAAATGGTGCCGCCCAGACAGCGCTAAATGGAATTGACCCCGTAAGTGATGAAGTCACAACACGGCGTCTGGGTCCAAACAAACCGTTGCTAGGGGCGTTGCTATGGACTAATGCATGGAGACTCCACATAAGGCTAGATTTTTGCTTACAAGTAAGTAAATACATTTTTGTAAGCAACCTAACTTCTTGATATCTAATTACGAAGATGTTCTTGTCGTCTCAGTGTCGTATTGCAACGATGAAAGCCATTTCTGAAGTATTCCACTCCGCTTTGCTTTGGGAGCAGACGACACGATAGGTTCGCTGGCCTCTGTTGCAGCGGGCGTCTTCACTGAATTGCATCGGTAAACGAGCGACAAAAACAAGTGCATTTCCGTGGCCGTAGAGGCCTCCGCAATGTGTTTTTTTTTTTTTTTTTTTTCCTGTGAAGAACCCAGCTTAGTTCAGAGGGATGAAAATGCCGTAAAATCAAACCACCCCATGCAGATCAGTTACGACGACGACCTGAAGTTCATTACCGGCGTAGTGCAGGCCGACCGGCATGAGAAACAAATCGTGCGCCGTCGAGGTAAGTCGTTTGTTATTATTATAATTGAGGTTGTCAGGTTAATAAAGAATCGCATGTCTATCGCCATTTCACAGTATCTTTTTTTCCTTGATGTACATCAAATTTTGTGGATGTGCTCTTTTGGTGAAGATCTCTATCGAACCCGCCGATGCGAGTACAATCTGTAATAAAGGCACCTAATGTTTTTTTTTTTTTTTTTTTTTTGTCTTTTTAATTTAGTTCTTTTCTGTTCTGGGGTCTTGCGGGATTCTGAAGAAACTCCAAGAACCTTTCTCCACGCGATGGTTACAACCAGGTACGAAGCACCCTCCCATAGCGCGAGTCCGTAAACAAAATTTGGGATCTCGACCGATCGCCTAAGTGCTTTTCTCACGGGTGGTATTGGCCCAATGCGATCATTTAGCGGACGATCATCTCGATTGACGCCCGGACTTTCGATAAGCCACATTTTGCATCGCACCCCACTATGAATTCTTTTAAGTTACTGAAAATTATTATATTTAAAACAAATGCAATGTCAGAATATCGTCCTTACTCACACGAATCAAACGACGGCGCCGGCTTGGCCTGCCGGCGTGTGGCAGACGGCATGCTTGCATTCGTCGTCTGCTGCAGGCATCTTGAAGACCGGAAGTTGCAGTCGTAACTAATTCAGAAACAAGCGATTACTGGCACACTTCTGTCGAAACATATATGACATTCAAGCTTTCTATATCTGTGATTTTTAGAAGTTTAAACCCTACTCCTGATTTTTGAACGCTCGGGTTTTCGTAACGAAACCTAGCCACATGTATTTGTCCATAACAACGATCCTAGCAACAGTTTGTTTGGACCCATGACGTCACACTTACGGAGTCAATGGTCTCCGGGCGCAATTTCGTCTGCTTCTTTCGCGGAGGGGTTGCGGTGACGTCAAAAAGACGCCGGGCTCCGATATGGGCTCCGCTTGAAAGGATATATGGGTAGACCCCGAAGCAAGCTGCCTCGAGGTCTACGCACTATCCTTCAATCGGAGCCAATTAGGACCCGGCGTCTTTCTGACTGACGTGAGTACAAAACCTGCAAAAGAAGCAGACGAGTTTAGGGGTTAAAAGCGCTAAAAACGATGGACGAGTAGGAGAGACACACACCACAGAGCGCTATGCACGGTGTAAGAGTACGAAATGTGATTAGCGGCGGTTGAAAATGAATCGTATGTGTGTCTTGTTGGTTTCTCGGTACGTGTGTTTTTTCCAATAATAAACCAGTTGCAACACTCTCAAGAAAAAAGGGTGTCAAAAGGTGTATTCTTACACCCTTTGTCCCATATAATACACCCCAAAACTTCAATTCGACACACAGCGCCCTACAGTCGAACAGACGGCCCGAAATTTTACGAGGGGCTTGATAGCCGTGTGGTACAACTTATTAAAATAGCTAACGTACGTTTTTCTGACAACAAGAAAAGTAATCGGGGTTTTCTTGGCCCTACTGTAAAATATCGGTGTTTTCTTTATGTGATCTTTGATGCGTAGTTTAGCTATTTAAAATGCTGTACCACACGGCTATCAAGCCCCTCGTAAATTTTCGGGCCGCCTGTTTGACTGTAGGGCGCTGTACGTCGAATTGAAATTTTGGGGTGTATTATATGGGACAAAGGGTGTAAAGATACACCTTTTGACACCCTTTCTTCTTGAGAGTGAAGTAGCGCTCTGTGGTGTGCGTCTCTCCTACTCGTCCGTCGTTTTTAGCGCTTTTAACCCCTAAACATGTTCAACCAATTAGCCCAAATCCAAACCCTTCTGAAGCAGACGAAATCACGCGCGCCCCGCATAGGGGATGAACCAGTGCGGAGGGCAACTCGTCTGCTTCTTGTCCAGGAGTTGCGGTGACGTCACAAAGACGCCGAGCCCTGATTGGCTCGATTGGAAGGATGGTGGGCAGACCTCGACGCTAGATGCCTCGAGGTCTATCCACTATGCTTCAATCAGAGCCAATCAGGGCTCGGCGTCTTTGTGACGTCACAACAACCCCTGCGAAAGAAGCAGACGAACTTGCGCTCCGTAAAGACCAACACGCGGCCCTGACGTCACGCAGCTGCGGTGGCGCTGTCGACGGCACTGCGCATGCGCAGACGCTTCCCTTCACGCGAATTCGGTTTCTGCGCACGCGCAGTGCCCACACCTGGTGTGGGCAAACGCCGGCTTGTTTGTAAACAACGTGTCGGTCTATACAATCAGACGGAGTCAATCAAACAGCGCCAAAAGTGCATCGTCATTGCACTCGTTGTTTTTGCGTGTCGGCTGCGCCCAGTGCGAAACGGAGTAGGGAGGGTACCGAGATGGAAACGCGACGAACACCATCAGTACCTCCGAGGTGCATAGTGCAAACACCCGACTGACAAAAAAAAAAAATTAGAAAAAAAAAACGATAGTGACGTCACTACCCGCGTCCCTCGCAAATTGCTCGATGACCACGAGGCTTTACCAACATCTCATATATTCGTTGTCGCATCACAGACGTACACACACAAAAAAAAAATAGAAAAAAAAATGAAAGTTTGAGCATTATTAACGCGTTGCCCAAAGTAGGTTTTTTTTTTTTTTTTCAGGTTTTGGTTTTGCCGAAGAAGGAAAGAATGCTTTTGTCGTTTGAAACGTGTATACGTCTCGATAAAATGGCGAGTTTTAGTATTGCGCGTATACGAGAAAACGCAAAACTGCGCGTTTGCGTTAGCGTTGCGTGTTCCAGACTGAGCGTGCGCGGAGCCCCAAACTGCGTCCTGCATTGGCGAATGGCAACTATGCGCGCATGCGCAACCTGAAGCACGCAACGCTTACGGAAACATACAGCGCTTGAAAAACTCTCTGATAACATATAAAGCTAATCTAAGATGCATCTACATACATCTTGATTCGACACGAGAAGGGGAAAATTAGTCGCGTTGCGCGAGTAGCCGGACTTTCTCTACGGATACCGTTATCGAGGTGAATAGGATAGATGCCAAGGCTAGCTTTTTGCGAGACCAACCAGAAAACGGTAACTTTTCGTAGCGCGAAGACTTGTTTTGCTCTCTGTCAATCAGAAACTTTGGGTAGATAACAAAGCGATAGCTGTGACGTAGCGAGCCCACCTGCAAATCAACAACCGCAACACCAATTCTTTTAGTTTTTCACGTGCGGCTTCAAACTATCCCGTAGGAATTTCGGCTAGTTCACAACTCTTCCGTGAAGTACTTAAGTGGCACTTTTGTTACACTTAAGTTACACTTTTGTATACACCTAAGAAACCTTGTTTATGGCACACCTTTGCTAGCGATTGCATTATTGTACAAAATAGCACGAACGGAAGTATTCTTAAGTATCTGACAGCCTTGTGCTTATAAGCAACACCTTAGGGTCAATAATTTAGTGCACCGTTTCTTAAAAATAATTACTTGCGGTTGCAACAGTGTCCTCATACACGGAAAAAATAAATGCAATGCTTAGCTGCCTCTATCTACTCCTCTAAGTAAACATAAAATATATCCTGAACTTGTACTTGAAAATGTGTACCTTCGTTATTTTGGTACGCCAAAAATTTCTGACGCTTCAGTACGTGTAAAATCTGGAAACCATAATAAACCATTAGCTTAATACTCATCACTTATTTTCCTCGCTCAGGGAAGACTGAAGCGCAGCAAAACAATGCTAAAAAGCATGATAGTGCTTAATTTCTTTTTTCTTTTTTATTTTGTAGCGTACGAAAGTTTGTTTACTTTGAGGATTAACTTTCTCGATTTTCATTACAGGTATCCATCATCGACAGTGACGGCTCAGAAGTATTTTCTATCGTACGAAAAAAAGTCGGCACGATAGAACCTTACCTTGCCTATTCTTCAAGCACCGGAGATTCACCCGTTGTTGTAAGTCTATTTAATTGTGGTTAAGTGCGAGAACTTCCATGTATTATTTTATACGCTAAATTACGAGAAGCTCAATCTAAAATCAGTCGGAAAAATTGGTTCACGCTTACGATCTCGAACTTTAATTGAGCGTTTATTTTAGCGTGGATGTTACCATCGGAAATTTCAAAGAATTGCTTTGTTTCCGTGCAAAATTAAAAGAGCATCCTTGATATTTCCAGTAGCGGGCTTCGACGTGGATGACAAGGTTAACCAGGGGTTTGGATTTGGGCGCCATCTCTTGATAGGCAATCGAATCTCAGAGGCCATGCTGCAATAGGTCAGATCAGTGGGTCAGTAACAAACGCCGCCGTCATCTCCTTGCTGCGCCACTCAAGAGATGGCGCCATAGGCGGAACCCTAGTTTGACTGGGTCGTTTGCATCGGAGCCTACCGCTGAAAGTGTGCATGGTGTTATTCTAACTTTCCACAGAAACGAGGTTACGTCTTAAGATTTCACAAAGTAAAGTCTAGCATGCACTAAAATATATTTCCAATAAAATTTGGAATGCGTCACGTTCAAGAGCCGATTTTTGTGACTGATTTTAATGAGACCCTCAATTTCTAACACCTTATATTCCCCACTCCCATCAACTTCGATGTTGATCGGCGTTGCAGCAGCGTCTGTTTGTTGCTTTCTCGTTTTATTAGGCGGATGTCGTGTTTGCGAACTACGGCCGTCCCGAAGACTTTGAGCATCTCCAGGGAGCTGGCGTCCAAGTTGCGGGTAATGTCGTCATCATCCGCTTTGGACGCGTCTTCCGCGGCAACAAGGTGAGCAGAGAATAACGACTTTCAGCTAGATTCAGTTCAATGAAACCTTGAAACAAAAGCTTGCAACATGCAGGGATCCAGATGATCCTCCATTTCCGCGTTTTATTATGACGTTTTACATCGGTGGCCAAGTGCGTTAGCGCACCGCAGCTTGGAGCACGTAGAGCGAAAGCTCGCACTGTAGAACCCTAAGATCCTGAGTTCAATCCTCACCCCCACCCATTTTGATCTTGATGAGCATCGTACCGGCATGCGGTCATGAATCACTACTGCCTGATGCTCGAGACCCCAGCCTAGCGGTGGTACAGCACTGCCTAAATTTCTCATCTAGCGTATAAATTAACTAGTGTCGCCACACCTCAAAGGTAGATCGACCATAGCTGCGTAAACGAGAACGACTAATTTGCCTCCTTCTTTGTTTTTGCAACTGCCTGTTGGGTTGGTCTCAGATAAAGCAGGCGGAAAAGCAGGGTGCCGCCGCGGTCATCCTGTACCCAGACCCAGCGGATTACGCGCTGGAGCCCAGAAGACCTTTCCCAGAATCCATGTCCCTCCCGGGCGACGCCGTCAGCTCTGGGACCCTCGCTCTTGTGAACGGAGATCCCCTGACTCCCATCTACCCTGCTACCGGTGAGTAAAGACTCAATACAAAACCCAAGTTCCATTAGTACAGAGCTTTTTTACGTAGTTTTCTATGGGCGGAACCACGTTGGTATATCACGTGTCGCGCCCACTACTGCGTAGCTTTGTTGTTTGCTTAGAAAGCCACGATGTTATAGAATTCGCTATACGGTGCCTGGAACGCGTATCCAACTGATCCTATTCCGCCAATGCATAAAGAGAGGGACCCCGAGGTTGCAACAAACAATGTCACAAAGGCCGGAGTGTCACGATGTCGGATGTCGGAATCTTGGCTCACGCTTGCGCCTAGGACTTCTGGAAAAAGCAGAAGAAAAAGCAAGTGTCTCTGCCGTCACGGTGTCCTGACACCTGACTGCCGAAGCTTCTGTGGACTGTCAGGCTAGAGAGCAACTTGCGGCACAAGAGACATCTGCCACATCCACTATACCGCTGTCGCGATAGCGCCAGGACCGCGGTCGGCGACAGTATGGCACATCTGTGACGTCATCAGGCATAAATCGAGGGACTACATCTTAGGGCACGGTAAAACCACTACTCAGAGGCGCATTCTAGGCAATAGAGTATCCAACAAAGATATAGCTTCTTTCGCATCGGACGATTACGTCAGGATTTCAGCTCTCACCATAGGATATCTTTTCGTCCCGTTGTCCCAGATGACGCTTTCAGGATTCCCGTGAAGACAGCAGACCTGCCCAACATTCCTGCCTTCACTGCATCTTTCGACGAGGCTGCAGAAATATTGAGGTGATTGATTGCTGCAACTTTGGCTAATGTTCTGCAATCTCAGAAGCTTTTGCATGCGTACACCCAAATACTTTACTACATACATATTACTCCGCGGAAATTCAATGGCATTGGAGCCGACAGCTTTTGCGTAGTTAGAACGGTTGGACGCGCACAGTCACGGTGTTTTCCCCTTTGAATTGGGAGTTTCTTTGAGAGGGGTTGGCTAGCGGCATCTACCGTCATCTATCGTCCTGAATAGCCTTCGAGACGGCAGATACAGCGGTTTCTGCTCTCTTGGTGAATCCGGTGTATCGATGCGTCGGCGGCAGGTCCTGGACGCGCGCGCAGTGTTTAATGTGCAGCAGAACAGTGTGACTGCGCATGCTCCAAACGCGTTCGACAGCGGCCTCCGGGCGCCGCCATCTTGCTTCTGGTGTGTGCAGGTCGTCTTTATGCGGACAGCAAGTCGTCTGGCTCTTGCGCAAGAGTTACGGTGACGTCAGAACGAAGCCGAGCTCTTATTGGCTGATTGAAAAAAAAAATAGTGGGTAGACATCAAGACATCTAGCCTCGAAATCTATCCACTATCCTCCCAATCAAGGCCAATCAGAACTTGGCGTCGTTCTGACGTCACCACAACTCCTGCGCAAAAAGCAGACGACGTGCTCTCCGCATAGTGCCTGAAACGCGTGTCCCACTGATGTGTTCAGCGTCTTATTTTACTCATGCATGAAGAGTGGTTCTGGAGTGGCCACAAATGACGTCCGAAAAGCCGGAGTGTCATGCTGTCAGATGTCGCGACCCTGGCGGTTGGGCGTACAAGTTTCGGGGGGGAAAACACCCCGAGCGAACGCAAGTCTCGTTGTCGTCGCGGCGTCCCAACTCCGGCATGGCTGATGAAGCTTCCGCGGACTACCAAACTAGAGGAAGACCTGCAGCAGAACAGGCGTCTTCCACATCCACCAGCGCTGCTCTGACACCGCCAGGATCGCGGACGGCGGCAGCACGACACTTTTGTGACGTCATCAGGCGGAAATCGAGAGACCACCGTTTTTGGACGCGGTAAACACACCAGTCGGAGATGTGTTCCAGGCGCCATTCGTATAATCCAAACTAGATCCACTAAGTAAGCTACGCTTCAGAGTAACGACACTTACCAATCTTGAGGCTTAAAATCATGGTTGCCAGTTACCTGAAGCTTTATCTGAAATCACGGAAAACGTTTGGTCTTCCAACATAGCGTGTTTTTTTTTTATTAACAAATAATCATTCATACGTTATTAATGCAGGGTGTTTCAGTTTTTTTAAGCTTTAGAGATTTGTGTAAAAAACGCAGTGGAAGTTTCACTTATGCAGTTTGTGCAGATGAGTTGTACGGTTAGACAGGATGGAACTGGGATGATCTGCCCGCCGACGCCGTGCAGTATTCTAACCCCGTTCATTTTAAGATTGCCATTGAGTACGTCATCCACTGAAGAGCCATCCTTATGTAATGCCCCACGTCTGGGGCATTTGAGGTATAATAATTAAATAAATACCGGGCATATGGGGATAATCGTAATGATCCGTCGGTTTATTAAGTAAAATTTGTTAGTGAAACCAGACCGCTAGTGAAAAAAGTCATTTGTATGAGATATTTCTCGTGTCCAATAAACACATATAAATCATACAAGATATATAAGAACATATAAGAATCATATAATAACTATATAAGAACCACAAAAGAAACTTATAAAAACTTCTCCCAAGTTTCTTATATAATGCTTGTATGTTCTTATACATCCTATATAGTTCTGATATAGTTCTTGTACAGTTTGTATATGGTTCTTATATGTCCTTATATATCTTGTATGATTGATATGTGTTGATTGGAAACAGAAATTTTTCATACAAATGAGAATTTTCAATAGGGACATACAGCTCCAATTAAGGAATGTTTTAATTAAAAATTAGAAATTTTAATGAATCAAACGAGACATGACTTCCATTAGAAACTTGCACAGCGTCATCCAAAACCACTATATCAATACTTTTTAGATATACTTGGTGCGTGGGAAGCGAAGTAGTGAGCTAAAGCTACCACCCGTATAGCAGGTACAAGGCTGGGGCTCTGATAACACACGGAAAAATTGGGCGGGCGTCTTATAGCCCCGGTAGCAAGCTTGCGTCTGCGGCACGAGTGGTAAAATTAGCGCACTACTGCGCTTCTCACGTGCTCAAAGTATTTCTAAAAATTACTGATTTAGTGGTTTTCGATGACGGTCAGGAAGTTCCTAATTAAAACTTCCATATCTTTTTTTTTTTCCAAATTGAAAAGTTTATTAAAATATTTTACTTACTTAGCCGACTGGTCGTTACGATTAGCCCTTTATACTGCACTCTCCTGGCAGTATAAGTCACCTGCCCAAACCGCATAAGTGTAGCTTTCACGGCCTTTTTAAGTCAAATCTGTTGAGCTTAAAAAAACACCCTGTATAATGAATAAAAGCTCATATTCAGCAACTTTCTCGTTACCATAAAATACTTTTGAAATTTAATTATTTCGCTGGGTTTCCTCACATAGTGAAAAACCGAGTTGGTAAAACGGCAGCTTTTTGTTTTCTATTTTTTGGGGGAAATAAAGGCTTATATCTGATGCGGGCACCCTGGTGGTTGGATCACTCACTTGCGACTGCTTGCGACCGATTGCCTTCCAACCTCTAGGCATCCATTACGACGAGAGAACACACTGGCGCCACCTATCGGGAAACCGTGAGACACTTGCAATTTCCGTGTACTTCCTTTTTTATTTATTTTTTTTTTCGCGCATAATTTTAGTTTATTGTCTTGAAAAACTCTTTGCAATGTTAAGCGCCGTTCACACTCTTGCGACCGAGTAAGACTGAGGGAGACCAGACCGGTTTTTAAGCCTCTTGAGATCTCTTAGGACCAGCTCCGCTCAGCGCATCCCGTCCTAAGAAGTTGCGACTTCTTAGGACCGGTTGCGCTGCAGCGCGGAGCTGGTCCTAAGAGATCGCAAGGCGCTTAAGAACCGGTCTGGTCTCTCCAGGTCGTACTCGGTTGGAAGAGTGTGAAAGGGCCTTTATAAACAGCCATTTCGCATAGGCAGCACGCAGATCTGATTTCGAAAATACTGGAAAACCTTCGCCCTAGTGGAATAAAGTTCCAGGGTCACCTGATATGTGAAGCTAGCGTACCAGTGTGCCAGTGTTTTCTCTCGTAATAAGAGATTCCAAGAGCTCAGTTGTAAGCAAACGCAAGAGCGTGAACCAGCCTTTAGGCTGACATCGCTAGAACCGAAGCGCTGCGTTTATTTATTTTTCTTTTTTTTTTTAATTTGTTTTTACTATTTATTAGACGAATGAAGGGTCCACCGGCTCCTCAAGACTGGAAAGGCGATTTGAACATCAGCGAATATCGCCTCGGACCCGGGTTCATTAAAGAAAAGTACGTAAAAACCATCCTGCACAAGTTTTCTGGTAGCCATACATTTCGCCTAATTTCGCCAAAAATTACAAGCTTGTATGTAAAATGTAAACAAAACTATCAGGATGAGCTTTTGGCCTTTTGACAAAAATATTCGCGAAATATCAGTTTTATATCTGAATAAATATATGTGCAGACTCTGTCGAAGGACAATTATGATTATGTACAGTGTGAAATTCCCTTTCCCCGCACTTTATATGTAACTACTAATGAACAAACTTGAAACATAAAATATTGAAAATTTAAACAAATATGGACTTGGTTTAATTTTTTATTACTATTTTTTTATTTCAAAGTAAAAGAGATAAACCGTTTATATATATATATATATATATATATATATATATATATATGACCAACGATCCTATAACAAATGTTGGGTACGTGGTTTTCGGCTCTCATTTCAGGAGTCTCAAACTCGAAGTCAATTTAAGAAACGGTTTAGCGACGACCTACAACGTCATAGGGAAGATTCCTGGAGTTCAAGAGCCAGGTTCGTATGCATAATTTACTCCGTAGATATTGAGCGCGCGAGTCTAGGCGGGGCTAAAGGAAATAATTAGCTGCGCTAACGTTATCTGCTGTAAATGGACTAACTAAATATTTCACAAACTACCGTGACATTTGAACTAATGTGATCTATTCTTAGGTGCATTTCTGCAGTAACTTGCGAGCTAGTCTGGCTACAGCTGCGTTTGTGAATTATTTCTAAATAATGAAAAATACACAAATTTACCATTATCAAGTGTGAACACATGCGCGAAGTGTTTCACTAGTGCACTATACGACCATGAGTACAGAAAAAAATCCAAACTGAATGGTGGCAGTACGCTTTTCAAGTTAAAAACTGAGTCGTTCGTTTGCATACGTCACACATCTTGAACTCACGGGATATAGTATTTTGACTGTAAATGGATTACCTCTTGTAAACAACCTCCCCATCTAAGAACTAAGAATGTGCGAATAGTGGTTCTAATCGAACAAGACTGCGTCATTCACATCCTTCGCAGCCTTAGGGAGATCTGAGACAGACCTGGGGCCCTAAACTCGTCAAACACAAAGTTGCAACCCAAAGTTCACAGAGCGCGCTGATTGGACGTTGGCGAAAAAAGCGCGAAGTCATCGTCATGATAGACCAATCGGTGTGCTCCATCAACTTCGGCCCCAACTTTGTGTTTGACGAGTTTAGGGGCCCTGGGTCGCTAAACTCGTCAAACACAAAGTTGGGGCCGAAGTTGACGGAACGCAGCGATTGGCTTATCACGATGATGACTTCGCGCTTTTTTCGCCGACGTCCAATCGGTGCACACCGCGAACTTTCGGCTCAAACTTTGTGTTTCACGAGTTTAGGGCCCTTGCTCTTTTTGAAGTGTTGAGGGATGATTCCGAGCTAATCCATTTGAAACAGTATTCGCACACCCCTACTAAGAACCTTAGCTATAATCGACGTCCTCTAATTGTTCCGTATGCCTCTTTCTTTTCCTCGCATTCATCCAGAGCTGACGCGCAGGTAATGTTTCATGTTTTAGGAAATGCCATACTCAATTCAACACAAAGTTTGAGCGCAGCCGACGCGGCCAATCCGACGCATGGAGACAACCTAAAGTCCCTTGATACTTGATACGGCGAATAGCAAAAGCATAAAGAGAACGAGCGCCCTGACGGTGCGCTTGTGGCGCCGCCCGATTGGCTGCTCCGTGTCGTACCGTCGTCTGCGCGCAGACTTTGTGGGGAGAGGAGTAGAGAGATACGAGTCCCCAGACCGTTCTGATGACTCGCAGAAAAACTGGTCATCGTGGGCAACCACAGGGATGCCTGGTCACCGGGCGCCTTCGATCCCGTCAGTGGTACCGTGGCGGTTCTTGCGATGGCCGAAGCCTACGGAAGGTTAGCGCAGCAAGGTACGACTAATGCCGGGCAGCACATCGGGGAAACGCCAAAACTTGGCACATGTTCGGCAGTCCTAGGGGCCGGCCTAACGAGGGCCTAACGAGGGTTTCGTTCCAGGGTGTTAGTGCCACAGTAGTTTTCATTCGCTATTAGCCGTGGCTCGTCTCTGGTTCACCACGTGACTGCCAAAGTGCCAAATAGCCCGAAATGTCACGTGTCAACCAAACAACCAGCAGGGGAGCCAAATTTTGGCCCTTTCTTGGCAACTTAGGTCCAAAGTTGCCAGGTGGAAACTGAACTAGCAAGAATGAAATCTAATTCTAGCTTTTCCTCGTGGACTGAGGCCCCCAAGAGCCAGGTAACAACGGAACCTCCAGGCAGTAAAAGCTTACTCTAAAACCCCTTTCTTTTCTTTTTTTTTAAATTTAGGTTCGAATTATTCGGACCCTGGCTGGAGAATATCAACTTAGGTTGTACCTTGGCTTTTTTTTGCGCTTTTCACGACCCTAAATTGCCAAACAAAAACCAAATAAAGCTTTGATTTGTCCCAGCAACCAGTCCAGGTGTTTAGTGGTTTCAAAGCATCGACGCGTATTCAAGCAACGCTTGCTTGCAAGTCTTGTCGCGGGACAGTTAGTAATTCCAATGGCAAGGGCGCCAATGCCACACCCAACTAAAGAAATATTCGGTACAGGTGAATTTAATACTAGTGTGTTTTGCGTTTGGACATTATTTATTTTTGCTTTATATTTTGAAAAATTGGGAACGTATCAAAATTAAACTTCGAACTTCGGAGAATCGCGAATCACTGAAAAAGTAAATGTCGATAAACCCTGAATTTTCAGCAAAAAAATCAAGCTTTAAAAAACGCCCACCAAATTTTGCAAAAAAAAACAAAAAAAAAACGTTGAAAACGCGGAATTTTTAGTTTCTCTTGTCGGAGTAAAGCGTAACATAATTTAGGAAATTATTATTTAGAAGCTTGTACTTACATCAGCCCATGTCCTTACCCCACCTATAATCACTTACAGAATAAGAAAAGCAGGGCGTGTTTATCGAACGGGCCGGCCTCCAGCCTACAATCGCCCCTCGCAAGTCGGAGAATCACCAAAATAAGCGAGGGTTTGTTCCGTTAGCAGCACACGCTTCATTTTTCTTGCCGCATCCGCATTGTTTGTTTTATTCAACATCGGCCCCCACTTGTTACATCTCGAAAATATTGAGAGAAGGCTGCAATTGAGTAGCGAGAGAACAGTATACTTTACTTCGCTATTTTTAGTGACGCGTAAAGATCTGTTGCCTCTCTGCAATCGTGCGTGTCTTTGTTCCCGCAGGTTGGAAACCACGACGCACTCTGGTCTTCTGCAGTTGGGGATCCGAAGAGTTTGCTCTTGTCGGGTCACAAGAGTGGGTCGAGGTACCTGCATGATTATTGCATTCTTGCGACCGGATCACGCATGCACGCACCCGGCCAGCTATGCTCGCAGACGGCGCATGAATACCTGGCAGATTTGTTCCCATGATGTCCGAGTGATCTTGCCAACCGACAACAAAACGTGTATCAACGTGAGATGCCGTTGATAACCATGCCATCAACTTGCCCAATTTATTTTTCGGGAAAACTTTGCTTGATGCATGCGTAGAGGTGCAAACAGTAATCTTCGTTGAAGATCGCTTTACGTAGGGCATATAGTATATACATAGACATTGTATATGAAGCATCACATTGTATATAATTATGGTGTGCGTATGAGTTCATGATGCTTTCGTTTTCAGCATTTAATAAATTACAAGCCTGACTGTCCGCTAAACCTGGCGACGCACAAAAGAGCGAAGAATGTTATTTGCCCGCTATACTCGTTTTCACCCCAAATAAACGTATAGTAAAAAAGAGTTCCGGCTCCAAGCGGAGCACTACTAATTTCCCTCTCTGTGTGGAGAATTACGATATCTATGAAGGTGTATTTTAAATTAGAAATATGTTGTCGATCTTATGACGTACACAGTTTTCAAGCGTTAAGAGCGTCGCTCATTCCTTTGACAACCAACTCTTGTACGAACTATACTTCGCCCGGCGTTTGAACAATACGCAAAACCTGCTTTTTTTCTTGAGGTGACATCGAGTATAGTGTTTGTTGTTTTTGAAATATCTTAGTTTTATGCCTCCCGGCCTACAAGTGTTCATTACCTATAAAACACTAATCAGCGGAGGAATTCCGTCCTTATATAATATGCCCAATGATTTTCTCCTTTCTGGTTCGTGATAGAGTCTAATTCGTGAATCACGCAATCAAGTCACTCATAAACCAAAAGCCTTTATAGATCTACTAATATACACTTTTCAAAAGTGCGCGCCATCTGGTAGCCGCTGCGCCAACTATCCAAGTCCGCCATTGTTTGGGCACGTACCCTGGGCGTGCATTGAACATGGGGCCTCCGTCAGTGTCCGGAGAGGACTCGGATCTCATCAATCACACATTACATGTTCATGGATGGATGGATGGATGTTAATGGCTATACCATTTGTAATGGGCGGTGGCTTGCGCCACCTAGCCCAAGTCTAAAAAAGACAAATCAAATGGCACCGGCCAATGGTACTTGAAGGGGTTTGGAAAAGGGTCTATTGAGTCATTGGCATAAGAATATAAACGTTGACTTTATATTTCATTCTTTTTTCTTTTTCAACGTATAAAGTGCAAAGTGGGTCCTTGCAATTTCTTAAGCATAGTTACCGTCTCCTGCAACCAGTGGCGTACCAACTTGTTTTTGAGTGGGGGGGCAAAACAGACCCCCCCTCCCCCCCCCCCCCCCCCCAGGGCCGGGGGGCGGCGGTGCCCTTGGTATCCCTTGGCCGCCGCCGGCCAGTGTTTGCTCTGCCCAGCGGTGGCTGTTTCAGGGGGGGGGGGGGGGGGGGGGGCGGGGCGGAACACATGCCTTTCCCCCCCACTTTGAGAACTGGGGGGGGGGGGGGCAAGTGCCCCTCCTTCCCCCCCCCCCCCCCCCCCCCCGGTTGCTACGCCCATGCCTGCAACGTTGTTTATTTTTTTGTTTTCAAGGAGCATCGCGTACAGCTGAGTCACCAGGCTGTCGCCTACCTCAACGTGGACATTTCGGTGCAAGGAAACGGGACGCTGGAGGTTGCCAGCACTCCTTTGCTTGGACAGCTAATGTGGGACACTACGAAAAAGGTGGGAACTCCTTAGCACAAAAAGGACCGGGAGAAATAGTGCTCGCATGCACCAGCAGATGTGACTATGGTATTTACTAATTATGGTAAATCGACCTTATGCGTGGCCTCATTCTTTGGGTGGTTAATTTATGCTCCGTGATTTTAGAGTCCTTCGATCCTCCGAAGGTGTATTAGTAAAAAATAATGGCTCGTCTCTGGGATTCCAAGTACAACAGCATTTCTTTGGGCAGCGTCTCGACAGTTACCGTCTGCTCTTGTTTGGAACCTTCCTGACCATAGAGTGTCAAGAAAGGGCACCTTAGATAGAGTCAGAAAGGGCACCTTAGAATAGAGTCAGTCTTACGCTAGCGCACATTCCTGCAGTATATGCACCGACATCCACGCCCGCGAAGACCATTTTTGTGTTTTCGTTTTTGGCACAAGTTTGCCACACTAAACATTTCGTTTTCTCTGTTATTCCTTCCTCGTCAATGGTCATTCGCGACAATATCTCGCCTGTTAATGTCTCGGTTGTTTTTGTTTCTTTTCATAAAAATAACAACAAAACTACCCTGACATACAGGCGAGATATTGACTGCTATCCTCGCAGGTGGCGAACCCAGACCAAGCGGAGGTCCATCGCGGCAGGTCCACCGTCTTCGACACCTGGCTCTCTCACTCCCCTTCGTACAACAACCCTGAGTCGGAAGCCAGGCATGACACATTGGCATTTCTATCTTATGTCCCGTGCAACATTGTGATGGTACATTATTTTGTATATGAGGCAAGCGCGGCAGAACGCAGTACTGATTTAGCGTAAGTCGAAACATCTTGAAGCATCTCGCCCAAACTTCCACTTTAGACCAGTATCCTCCAGTCGTAGCGAGGTATACAGTGTAATCCATTTATAAGGATATTAGATATAGCGATGTACTGCTTATAACGGTCAGTTTCTAGAGTTTCTAGACTAGAAACGCATAGTTTCTAGTCCAGATACAATAATCGGTTCTAACGATTGAATTTTCGGGTTTTCTCATTGTCGTTATAAGTGAAGTGCACTGTAAAAAGGTTGGGCTAATTGCTGTATTACCCCCCAAAAAAAAAAAAACAGTGCCAAGTGGAAATTAACAAGTTAAGGGAGTTGACACACACAGCGCTGACTTTTTGTAAAAGTACAAACTAATAATTTAAAAAATAATATCTAAGAAAAACTAACACAAGAAACGTGTCTTCTTTGGGACAATAAGCGTGGGCGAGTTCGAAACCTTTTTCAAAATTTTAATACGAAGTTCGACAGAAATTCGTCTATTATGCGCATTCACAGAAATTGCAAACGAACGAATGCCGCCTGGCGGACGAAAAGAGCAATATTTACTGGGTGTATTCTTTTTTTTTTTTTTTTTGCATTAAAAGTTAGCCCCATCCTTAAATGCGTGTGTGCGTGCCTCTGTATCGTGCAGACACTGGTTATTATTCCCTAAAACGTGTAACAAACTACCGTTCAAATTATTTTTGCCGAAAATATGAAATTGCTTTGTTTTGAAGTCGGACGAAACTGTCCAAGAAGTCCAACTTCGTCGAATTTCGCTAAAAGGTCGAAGTCCGCCACAGATTAGACGAACCTGGAGGTTCGCCGTCGAATCTCAGATTTGCTAGAAGTTTGTGACATCCTTAGATCAAGCGATCCCCTGACCCTTTTTTGAGTGCTCTACGGGAATACAGGTGCTCGGGCATTGTTGCAGAGTACGAGATTTTTCTACGGGACATATGCAAAATTCCTGCATCCTATCATCATGCCATTCGGAGCCGCCATATTGGAGGGGTTTTGCCATATTCCGTCTGTGGACGAGGCGCACCTGAGTCAAACTGGCTTTCATGCTAATAGAACAATGCATTCGTACATTCAATAGGTTGCTATTTAGTGTCGGTTCCCCGAACAACAGAAAGACGGCCGCGAGATCGTGGAAAAGGAATAGTTCGCAACGGGGTAGCAAGACTGGTCATGAAGGCAGTGAACTGAGGCATTCAGGTAAGGGAACAGACTTTATTGAGGACGCTCTGCGAAGTGTTCTGGCTGGAGTGGCCGTACGTGAACATGTTTTAGATCTACGACTCCTGTTTTGCTGGGACCAGGGTCACCTACAGCAAATCTAACATTATGGCAACCCACAATATAGCGGAAACTTGACAATTGATCATAAGTATACACTAATGACGCTTCTTTTTACGTGCGATCTATTGAAGGGAGCTATTTGTAAATAAAGATAACATTTTTTTTTTCCTTTATCAATCAGGTTTCTCGACCTTCCGTCTGACAGTGACTACGCCCCCTTCTTCCATGAACTCGGGATTCCGTCGGTGGACCTTCGTTACACCTGCTCCAACCTGGTGAGGACCGCGAGTACCTCTCCCGCGAGGCGTGAGAACGGATTGTAGTTATTCTTCCGCATTTTCCGCAAATATCGATAAATCTTGGAAATACACCTCCAAGCCTGTTTTACCAAAATTATAAAAAAAGAAAACGAAAAACCTCGAATTAAAACTGCCCTTGAACAAGGAAAAGAAAACGAAGCTTGAAAGACAAAACTAGCTATAGTTTTTTTTTTTTTTTTTTTTTTTTTTGGGGGGGGGGGGGGATTTAAACACAGCTTGTACTGAAGTCTGCTTTCTTCTTCGAAACCACGCCACTCTCCTCGTTTCCTTCATATATCTGTACCGGGGCGTTTCTTTTCAAGTATTCGGGCGACCGAAATACCCCCGATAAACGCCGATATTTTTTCCCCCGACACCAAAAATTATCACCGGAAAACACCGAATCTACAAAAAAAAAAAAACAAAGTAAACCCCGAAAAAAAAAAAAAAAAAAAAAAACCTCAGAATTTGAAGAAAAATAAACCCCGAAAATACGGAAACCAAATTGCAACTCACGCTGCAGGGTTCAGCTTCACAACCTAATCTAGTGGATAGTCTGTTGCAGGTTGAAGGGGCAGTGAAGTCGATTTTGAGATCGTCCTTTTGTTTTAACCACACAATCTAGACGCTCTAAGCATCCCAATAAGCCCAAAATCATAATCGTGGGTAGCTTATTTCCTCGTTAAAAGCGTGTTCAAATATCGCGACACGCACTTTCTGGGAAGAATTTCTTCCGAGTGAAGTGGTCGACGACGGCGCTTGTCGACGCGATGCGAGCGATGGCTTCGCCCACGGTGAAACAGAGGAGTCTTGTCTGAATGTGTACCAATGAGACTTTTTCCGAAACCAGTTATAATAAAATCATTCAGAATCTGCGCGTAATGTAGGGCTTTCATTGGTTCATACAGTGAAATCCACGAGAAAAAAGAGTCCACATGTTTTTCTCTTGCCCTGAGGTGAACACACAGTTTTGTAATATAGGAGTCCTTGGTAACTGTGAGAACTAACACATTTTAAACAATATAAGATCAAAAACGACCTTTTCCAAAGTTGATTTCATGCCCCTTTAAGAAAAGGAGGGCAGGCTGCTGTTACAGAAGCCTCCACCCTTTCCTTTTTAGCAGAAAGAACGCTGGAGAGGAGGCAAGTGGAGAGGAAAAAAAAATCATGGCGAGCAGAGAATTTTCTGGGAGGGGCTTGCTCTGCTATTTTACGCTTACAACAGAACACACACACACACAAAAAAAAACAACTTAAAAACCCGATAAATGTTTTGTACTTAGGAATTGTTTCTCTTTTTTTTTTGCATTTTATTGTTTGTTTTATTTATTTTGCTCAAATTTCGTGGCTGTGGGTTGTCAAGACCTAGAACCATGAAACTTGAGTATGAGAAATACGCCACATAAATACATCAGTGTGAAAAGTTTCATTGCCATCCGCTAACTCCACGTAAAGGGCATGACGTCAGCCGCGTAGTACCTTTCGCAAGACATCCTCCCGTGTCGCTAGCCTCTTTCTCATTTTTCTCCCCAGTTTCCCTTTTAAATACGAACCTCACGTTACCACTGCAGATGGTACATGGTTACGTCTACGAACTGAGTGGCACCAGGTTCTGCCGTAGTTCTGTTCAGGATCGCGGCAGCTGACTGCGCCTGCTGCCTTTTTATTTGGTCGTGTAACAATAAATTTAAGAAATTATGTTTTTTTCACACTCCGTTACCATTGTGCCAGTGGATACAAGCATTGCAACGGTATGCGTAACTTCATTCAACTTAAGCAATGTGTTTTGCATCGAAAGAAATTTAAATACTTACGAATTTTGACGGCGGTTATTTTGTGCACGCCAGTGTGAAATATTTTGTGGAGCGTTCACACGTAAAAAAGTTCACAATACGGTTCGGGGTGATCTTGGTTTGCATCGCAGCCAACATTGAACCATGCAGTTGTGTTTGACTAGGGCGTTTTATAAATATGTTTCGTGACCAACGTTGGATCAACTCAATATGATTTGGCAGGGCCGCACCTGGCACGACTGTCGAAGTCATCGGGTTTAAAGCGAACGAAACTCCATTTCGATGAAGTACACTCACTGTTGGAACAAAGCTCCGAAATCCATCGTTTGAGCAGCTCGGTGGCTCTCGAAAATCTAAGAGAACCGCTTATGAGTTCACATTACTGGGAAGATCAGGATGTAATCCAACAGAAACGTGCCGGTGAACGAAACTCGCCGCGGAAGGTTTCTGCAGCCGTTTACACTGCAAAGTCCCATCTCGGTCTCGGCAACGCCACACACTTTCGTTTACTCAAACTGCTCAGCGGCTAGGCTCGTCCTCTCGCGGTGGTCCATCGTCGGTCCATCAGTGTCTCGCACGCCTCGCCGGTCTTGCCTTCACGCATCTCTCGTTCAATCTACCGGACGGATTTTCAACTACTAAGCCAATGTAGTTGTTGTTGTCGTTTTTTAATGGCGTGCAAATAATGTTTGGAAGGTAAACGGACATTTCTTTGAAGTTATTTGTGTTCACTAAGGGCTTAAGAAAATTATCTAGTTCCAAACTTTCCAGTCTGCTCATTGAGTACCAGTAACATTTGGCAGGCATACGGCTGATATAGTATACAATAATAAACTACCTAAACTTGTGCTATATCTTCGAAACAAGTACGTGAAATTGACATGTCTTTGTTTCAGAGTTTTGATTCTTGCTTACCACTCTACCACACGAACCACGAGACAGAAATGGCCTACAAATTAATTGACAACAACTTTAAGGTAAGTTTCCAAAATAAATGACGGTTTTTAATCTGCTTTTATATTGGAGAAGGGGAAGGTTTATGCAAGAATAAATTGACTTCCACCCCTAGAGGGCGCAAGTTGCGCTCCATTTCAGGTGTAACTCAGTTTTTTCTCATGCAAATCCTCTCCACCTTGTGGACTTCCCCTAAAATTATTTTATGTAATTATTATCGTCTGATAATCTCACCCTTGCCACGCCCTGCATTTCTTAAACTGTCAGTGACTGTAATCCGAGCTCTACGTGGCGAGCTAGAAGTACCTTTTGTCTGTATTGTCGTTTTTCTTTCTTTTTTTTTTTAATTTTCTCCAAATTGATGTTAGCGATGTAGTGAGATATGTACTACTGATGTTAGAAATTTGATAACTCCGTCATCTCAATCTGCACGATCAAACATATCATCATTACATTTTCAGGTGTCCATAAGTGTATACTGTACCGCGATACGCTCAAAGCACAAATCATTGGTCTTCCTTTCTTTCTTTCATCAGTTCAGCCAATGAGAAGGGCGATCGGTTATCATGCTTCAATGGCAGTAGAGTCTCTGTGGCAAAAGAGATGGACTTCCTTTTGCCACTGAGACCATGTGACCATTGGAGCTTGATATTGCCATTCCTTCTGATTGGCCCAACTAACTAAAAAGCGGCCGATTATTGGTCTTGCGGTACATTGCTGGGAAGTGTACACTCAAGGCCTCCTCAGAGATTAGGGAGTTGGTGGCAAAAGATCTGTTGCAAAATGTGCAGCGTCCTGCGCGGCGCCGAAAGGAATTATGGAAACTGGCTGTACAGAACCCGCTGTAGCTGATTCCATGAAGGAAGAGGAGGTCGTTCGCAGGATTCTAGGTGGTGTTGGTTGTGTGCTCAACTAGGGTGACCACCTTCCGGCAGGCGATATGCGGGACACCCTAAACGGAGGGGGGGGGGGGGGGGGGAGAGAGAGAGAGAGGGGAGGGTAAAAAGAGGATGGTATTATCATAACTCAAGAAAAAAAAATATTTAAAAAAAGTCACCATCACGCGCACACCGATATCCTGTGCTCTCCGTAAGCATATTATACACATGAAAATTGTGTGGCGGCAATTAAGCTAAAATAATTTTCATTCACAGTGATATATTTTTGTGTAATTGTAATGGTAAATATTTTATTATGGATGTCTCAGTTGAAACCATAAAAATTGACTGCAGCAGACCAAAATGCACGAAAGGGAAATACGAAATCGTAAATCTTTTTCGGCTTATTGTTTCCTGTCGATACTTACTCTAATACTAACATGCTCTTTTTTCAACCCTTCTGAGACTAAAAAAAAGCTTTCCACAACAACCCTTTCGCATGACAGAGTATGATTTGAAAATAATTACAATAGTTTATTTTTCAACTTTTGGCGAGCAATTTTCGCTCGCAATAATTTGCCATCAAGAGGAGAGGCACAACGGCACATGTGCGTCTTTTTCCTGCAAGAACGACGGTCGCTTCCCGCAGTGCTTGTATAGAAAATGGCATGCCATCGATATTCACATGTTCATCAGCGACCTCCGCGCTACCCCGTGGCCCGTTCTTCGGAAGCGCCATGAGTTGCGTAGTGAATGCTACGACAGTGTCAAATGCGGGACATTTTAAAAATTTTGGTATTTCTTGCGGGACGCGGGACTCGCGCTCTCAATGCGGGACAGTCCCGCGAGTCGCGGGACGGGTGGTCACCCTATGCTCAACAACATCAGCCTCCTCTCTACATAGGACGTTCCCATAATTCCTTGCGCGCTCGGCGCGCTACCGTCCGAGATTTTGGCGGCTGGTCTGTTACCGTGTTCTTCGGCCTGCGCAGTTTCTGAGGGCGGTCTCCCAAGTCCTCAGTCTGGCGGCTTACGAGTTGGCCGTGCGGCCGCTGTTGGCGATGACGGTGAGGCCGTACGCAGCAGCTCTCAACCAGAGCCTCAGCGAACTCCGAAGTCTCTACGGAACGCACCTAAAGGAACAGAGAGTGAGCACCAGTACGTACCACCAAAGTTGTGTGGTTTCCTGATCCAAGGCTAATGAGTAAACCTGTCCGAAATTGTTATAAGATATATGCACCAACATGTGGCTGTGACGTCGCACTGCCGCGGTGGTGCTGGTGTCGTCACGGCGCATGCGCAGAAGCATCACGGAAATCTTGTTTCTGAGCGTGCGCAGTGCCAACCTGGTGTAGGAAAGCGCGGATCACACGTAAACAGAGACTTGGTCTATAAACTGTATACAGTGTAAATAATATTTGCATTTTAACCTAATCTTTGTATTAACATCGTCGCGTAGAAACTCCTTTCGTTCGCGAAGATACTTGTCTCGGCACGTGCCGCAGCGTTGCAAACTCCTCGAACACAGACGACAAGTAAACTTCTGAAAACAACCGAAAAGAATCAAAATCATCATGATGCATATATACCAACTAGAATTGCCAATGGGCGACTTCATTTCAATTGGTGCAGAAAAAAGGGTCATGCCTTAAAATATTTTGAAATAAATGAATATGCCGGGCAAATTCTCCACAAGGATAAAACTGAAACCTGTTTTTGCGTCATTTCCGCTTATTTGATAGCTTCTCCAGGCTCAAATACCTTCCACAGAACAAAGAAACGTTTTACATGGCTTCATATCTACATAAAAAGCCCGAGATATTCCTTTTTTTTTTGTTTTTGTTTTTTTGGTGTGTGAAAAATTCAGAACCTGGCCCTTTTGACAATCATTTACCAGGTTTGGATGAAGATAGCTTTTTTAAAAATCAATTTTATGACATAAAATATATATTAATTGAAAGCTTAAACAAATACCTATTCAGTAAGCACAATATTGGTATAATCAAATAAGGTTAGCTTAATAAAATACGCCTTCGAATATTAAAAAAACTCTAAAAGTACACATTTCGGCATCAATTTTCTCAAAAAGACCATTTACAGATGTTGTCGTTTTTTCGCATAAAGCGCCCTTGGTTTGAACTGAAACATCCAATAAGAATAAAGTGTAATATATGGTTTGGAAATATATATGGTGTTTGAAGTACTGAGGCCGAATCTAAAATGGGCCGTAAAATCAGCACCTGCACGTGCGACTGTAATATTTTTTGTCAAATGTGTATTTCACAGACGAGTTTACTTTGGAAAATTGCAAAGCGTAGCTCCCTTTTCCTAAAAAAAAACTACCAAAAAACTAGCCAGGTTCAATGGCGAACGGCGACGCAGACGACCGAGTCGAGTGGCGGAGCGAGTTTGGCGCAGATATTCATAGATGGCGCTATCCCTTATCGAGAATGTTCGCCACGGCCGTGGTCTATTAAAATGGGCATAATATGGTTGCGATGTACCTTTGGCTTAAAAATAAATGCGAACAACGAGAGCTACACTTGAAGTAACACAAATAAAATTAGAGGCCCTGCAATGACTTTTTGACTGGTTTTTAATTTGCACCGAACCTGAGCGCACTGAACGTAGTAACTTTATGAAACTTTTCTTTTCTCGAATTTCGCTTTATCTTAAAAGTTATAGGCAAATTAATATTACGAAAATAAGCAAAAAATAACCTCCTTCATGACGTCCTTAGTCCTGGCTTGAGTGGCCGTTTTTTGGCCACTAGAGTTTTTTGGTTCTAGGTTTTGCCTAGTTTTTTGCCCTATTCTTTACAGAAAGGCAGCTACGCTTTGTAATTATACAAGGTAAATCCCACCTGTGAAATACACCTTTGACGAAAATTTTAGCGCCTATTCTTTCGGCCCATTTTTTGATCCAGCCTCGGTATTTCAGACACCCTATAAATCCGTACATTTAAAAAGGAGAAATGTCTGAAGTTCCAGTTTAAGATGCGAAGCTTGGTCGTCGTCATTTGTTTGCCTATTAATTAGTTAATACTTGGCACCCTGTTAGAGTATTCGTTGGCTTCGATTTAACATACAATTAAATGATGTAAAGTGATGCGTAGACGGGATGCTATGTTTAATACATATGGGCTTTCTAATGCATGTCCAATTTATTAACTTAAAAATGAAACACCAATAAAATTAACTTTTTTTAAATTCGGTTGTTAGGATAAAAATGTTATAGATACTTCCCTCCAAGTGTTCTATGCAGAATGATAGACTAATTGAGTGAAACAAAATATTTTCGATGTGCCGACAGCACTAGCCCGAAATTTCTGCTTTTTCCAACTCTCGCTTTTCCAGGCACACTAAGCATTGTAAAAAGGTAGTCTTCAAACCCACTGATATTCGTTTCTTTTCTTCTTTATAGGAAGAGAAAGTTTTGCATAGATCGTGTGGGGAAGTAAATACAGTGACGTAAAATATCTTGCAACGCAAGTTCACGAGAACGTTTAATGTGTGACCGAAACGCACAGTTAAAGTGGGTTACAACATTACTCTCGATGCTTAGCCATTCGTTTAACATAGCATTGAGAAACCAGTCCTTGTTTTGAGCTCTCGTCCTTAAGTGACACGACCGAATGCTCTTGACAAAACTTGCAACATTCCGTTTTTATGTTAAAATGGTTCACTAAGTTTTACGAGTGAACCTTTAACCTAGTTTAACGTCGATTTGTGCTCAAAATAAACGTTGTTGTGAACTCGCGTTATTATATATTTTATGTAATTGTATGTACAGTGTTCTTCAAATTTTACACTGCCACTCGGTTACCCAAATACTGATCTATCGCCGCCTTTTAAAGCTAAATTGGTCACTTCAGCAGCTGGTATGTCTTCATCATGCTAGGTTGTGATCGGGGATCACAACGCCACCAGGTGGGGTGGAAGAAAAAGAAACACAAAAAGTGACCAAAACTGACAATCTCAAAATGACGTTAAATTTGGGGAACACTTTTTTAAAGAAATAAACTAAGATAGAAAGAGTTAAACGAGCCCAGCTTCTCATTAGACTTAGCGTGCGTGGAGAAGCGCCAGTTGGAAAAAAGCGAAATTTTAAGCTAGGTCTCTCAGCACATCAGTATGATTTGTTTTTGTCTCTGGGATCTGAATTTACTCCATTTAGGCAAATGTTTTTACTTGCGATTTCTTCGATTTTTTAAGTAAGCAAGCTGGACGTGCGATAAGAGCCTGCATATATTATACATAATGTGTTTAATCATTTGTAAATTGAAGCCTACCAACACTATGAGTAAGTCCAAACAAATAATTAACAATCTGGCAGAAACAAACGGTGACAACATAGCTTCGCATCTGAAAATAGAACTTCATGTATGTCGTGTTTTCGAATGTACCAATTTATAAGTTCAAACTATACATTACATCTGATTTTTATTGGATGTTTTATAGAGCATACAAAAATACTTAAAATGTTTTTTTATTGATGTAGAAATTTGTACTTTTAGAGTTTCCTCTGGTGCTCAAAGACGTTTTTCGCCAAGATGACTTTATTTACCTTTAACAATATTGTGCTTGTTGAATATATGTATTTGTCTATGCCTTTATTTTATATGTAATTTGCCATTTTAACAAAAGTTTACACCATCCAAACTTGGTAAATTGTCGTCAAATGGGCCAGGTTCTGGATTTTTCTACAAAACAAAAAAAAAAAATCAACAAAATACATTTACGTAAACCTTTTGTTTTTAATGTAGTTTAAAAAGCCACGTATACCGAAGTCTTTTTTTCTTTTTTTTGCGAACGGTATTTGAGTTTGGAGAAGTTCATATACCTGATCTGTCACGATCGCTTAAATCCAAAAATTTGACTTTGATCCTTTAGAAGTCAGAAACTTTAAAACTAAAACTATGACGCAAAACCGGTTTTCACTTTTGTCCTAGTGAAACATTTGCCCAGCATATAGATTTATTTTTTCGAAAGTTTTTGAGACCTGACTCCTCCTTCCTGCACGATTTGAAATGAAATCGCCCGAGTACATTTACTTTATTAAACCTCGCCTTCACTCATTTAAAAACTGGATGTAATCTTTTCCGGAGACCAACAACTCGTGACATTTCCAGATTCACTGGTGAAAGCAGTTCGAGAGTTTTCCAAGGCCGCCGATACGATCGATCAGCAGCGACTTCAGCAAACTGGCGAGGGGTAAGTGCACAACCCGATACAGTCCTGTCTCGTTTATATGGACCCCGTTAACTTGAGAGGGATACCGTACTATATAGAGACCATTTTGAGGCACAAACTGGGAATATGCATTCAATTTTGTCTCGTTATTATAAACAACTTGCATTATGGATTTTTTCTTTTGGGTGGGGGAGGTTTCCATATTAACGAGGCACCATTGTATATATTGTTTGGAATTACTCGGACATCTTTATCTTTGTTCAATTACCTAATTCGCCATCTGGAATTTCAGTACAAAAAAAAAAAAGGGGGGGGGGGGGGGGAGAGTACAGACGAGAAAACTAGCATGACGCAAAAATGACTACCGTAAACTCCTGGGCCTGCGCCTTCTCAAAATTTGGAGGTACTCACGTAAAACTGGGGAGCGGGTGCTCCTTGGGCCAATAATACGTAAAGATATTTCCTTCGTGTATTTTCCGAATGTTATAAAATTGAGGGGTGTGCGTTAATTGTGTAATGGGCAGATGCTCAATATTTTGCGGCACATATTTAGTGCGTTAAAAAAAAAAGACGCCATTGGAGGTGATGTGACTGCGTGACGGAAGGGGGTTCCAATAACGTGTAGTGTCTTCAAAGAAAAAAAAGAAGAAAAAAAAAAGGTCGCAATATGTCGCCCTTAAAAGGAATTTCCCTAACTTTGGAAGCCTGGTCGCTTCTACCAGATCGGTATACTTAAAGCGCCTAATTAATGTATTTATTCCTATCTACACCGTTTTTTCTTTTGTAAATTACCTAACAGTAAGCATCATTTAGTTACTGATTTACACATGCCACCTTCATACTGCAATTTTTTTATCTTTAAAATTTACGCTATTTTTTCCCTTACGCTACTATATTCATGTCACTGACACTTTCCAGGACGAGGAACATCAACAATAAGCTGATGTTGGTCGAAAGAGCGTTCATCGACATCCCAGGAATCCTCGCGGGAAACATCTTCAGGTAATCTTTTCTTTCTTTTTTTTTTTTCCTTTTTGTTCCTGCACCGGCGTTTGCATTATGCATGAGTGCGGTGTGCAACACAGCGCGAACGCGACATCGGCGCTCTCCTGAAGATTGCTCATAAATGATATTGACGAAAACAAAATTCTTCCACCTGATTATATTCCGCCTCAGCGTAATTTGGCAAACGGCAAAGGCTACATATTATATATATACGGTCCCAGTGATCCAACCAGCGTGTCAGAGGGAGTCACGTGACTGTAGTCTATCTCTATATCTCACTTGTTGCGTGCAATGCTGTCGACGCGACGGGCTGAAGAGAAAGATGAAAGCTGCTTTTTTTGTTGGGAGGGTGAGGGGGGAGCGCATGTGGACTACATGGCAGGACACCTACGAACGGTATCTGCTAGTAGATATAAGTCATATCGGGTACTGCGAGAGTCTATACTACGACACAGAATAACGGTTTACAATTCCTGCCCGTATAGTAAAAAAAAAAAAAAAGAAATTAGATATTATTCTGCGAAACATTGCTTATGGAACCAAATTTGCTGAACTCAAAACTCACTTAAAGATGCATTCGCTACGGATCTTGCCAGTTGAAAAATTGAATACCTACACTATATATGTACACAATTACTACAAATACACGTTTAAGCAGCCCACTAAAAAAAAAAAGCAAAGGGTCCTGTGGAAAATAGAACGTTTCGTTCTGCCAAGGGTTTTCACAAACTACAGTAAAAGGGTACGGCTTTCTTTATGTTCCGCATTATTATAACATGTTGCCAGATCGACTTTTGGATTTGCAGTCACTTAGGATTGAGCTGAGAGAGTGGTGCAATAACTTTGCTGGTTAACCAAATTCGCAACCTCTAGTCTGTTTCCTTTTTCTTTTTTTAAGTTGGTGCGCTGTTTTGTGTGTTTGCATCTTGTGATTTTCAGTTTCAAAGTTAGAGTTTGTAACTTGTTGGGACTTGTAATATGTAACAAAGTGCTTTTGTTTTTTTTAGGCCGAAAGCATGCTGGTACTTTGTTTTGTGTAAGAGTAATACCATCCTATCTATTGCAACAGTGTCCCGTCCACAAGCACACACGTGCTTTTGCGGACCTGGATAATTGATCTGCTAGTTGATTATGCAATAAACTTATGTATGTATGTCTGGGACAAGCAAAATATGGTTGTAGTAAGAGGAAATTTTCTCTTTTCCCTCCTCGTTAACTGCTTCGCTCTCACCCCTGTACTTTTGGTAAGGGCTTTCACGTGCTTCGCCCTTTATGGCTTTGATTAGCTTGAGGGGGCCGTAACGTTTACGTTTTGCCAAGTTACTGTGAAACGAAATATAGTACCCAACATGAAAGTCAAATTTAAGGGTTTACTTGCCAAACCAACGACGGGCATCTGGTACGCCCCAGCGGACGACTCAGGATTCATTTGGACCACCTAGGGGTCTTTTGGCGTGCAGCATGAAGCTGAAATACACGGCTCCTTCTCCGCAATAAGCCTCCATCAGATTGAGGGCACGTCGGCCGGCGCTTTTGCCTCGGAGCCACCGATGCGGCCAGTACCCCCACCATGAGCATTTTCAGCAATGCTGCCTATTCAATTTGATGACAGCATTTCAGATTCGAGATAAAAGGAAAAGGAAACTCGAATTGCTCGTTGGTGCTAACATTCCGGCGCTCTCTAAGCTCGCTAATAAATTGATGCGAGTTATTGCAATGCTTGCGTACGTCGAATGAAAATGTCGTGGCAATCAATTCACGCAGGAACGGCAGAATAATTGTCTTTGTGTGTACCAATCAGAGGGACGTCATTTCAGGAGAACCAGAGTCTAGGATAAGATTACTTTAATTTAGTACAAACGTAGAGGCAAAAACTACGGAGGAACACTGAGTCAAACATGCGACCTTCGACAGTCAAGAACGAACGCTTCATAACTCGATCCTTTTCTTCTAGATAAACAAATTAGCGCCGATTGTGCCGCCATACATTGTTTCTGTAAAAATAAAATATTCAACCTTTTTTGATGCACGATTTCAGGTAGCAAGGTCTTCATCATGTTGAATTGACCTGAGACTGGGGTACAAGACAAACATCAAAACGTTCTTAAGTTTTTCTTCAACCCCAGTATCAGATTAATTCAACATGGTTACTGTTCAACAGCACGCCTGCACCCTTACTATAGTTTTTCTAAGATCTCCAAGACCTGGCATTTGCCGGCCCTTGGTTTTTGCTCGTCCACCGGGGCACAGCAAAGGCAGAGTTATCCGAGCGTTTGCCTAGCAATAGCCGGACAATGGCCGACGAAATGGCCGACATCTGTGCTACTTGAAAGTGATTAGTTCTCAATAGATTCCAGCCAGAGAACGAGCACGGGTCACGGATGGGAGCGAAGATTGCGATCAGCTCCGGCATTCTGAACCCGGCAACGCTGCATTCAATCTCTCAGTGCAGGTCATTGTATTCAGTTCAATGGTCTTTTTGACTCGCTAGCATTTTTTCGTCAGTCCCAACAATTGACTATCCGCTGTTTTATAATATTAAAGTTTAATTGCGAAGTGGCACCTTAAAGGATTCCTGCACGCACAGTTTCACGCAGAACATGCGGTGTCACTGAGATCGCCCTGCGAATGACGTGGCGCTAGAATAGCGCTAGGACTCAGACACCCTATAGGTATGCGGACAGTTAAGCGAAACGTCACTCTCATTAGAGACTTTTCGACCATACGCTAGAGCTTTGCGTTGCTGTCAGGAGCTTGTGTAGTCCTTTTGAAGCATGGATTGAGCACGCGCCTTCTGGGCCTGTAACCCGCAGCGTATAATCTACTGAAACGTTCTATTGTCCTATCACAAATAGTGTTTATGAGTCAAACAATGTTACGAGCTTTGGCGTTCACTGGACGCGCTCCGTAGATCACTGTGATTGGGCCATAACGTGCTTTAAAAAAAAAAGTAGAGACAAAAACAATTTTTTTTGTAACACGGAGTGGATTTCATGCAAAAGCGTTAGGCTCGAGTGTTATGGAAAGCCGTTACACACAAGCCAAAACAACATGAACCATAGACACTCCATAGGCAATGCAAAAGCATACAGAGTTCTAAACGCATACTTTCGAAGATGCCTCCGTCTCCTCTACTAAAGGCAGCATTGTTTGAAGAAAGCATGTATAAGTATAAGGCATAGCTAGTCATAATTATGTACACTTAAACATCATTAATTGTAATTACTTATATTTACCAAACGGCGCAACGGTAATCGGACTCTGATCTATGCGATCCGCAGCACGACGGGATTACCTACTCAACGCCAAATGAGGCTTTTTATTATTATTATTATTATGGCACGGCGCCAAATTAGGCGACCGGGAAAGCCAGCAGCTCTAGGCGAAGTATACGACTCACGGGAACCTGCAGCAGCAGGCAACCGTCAATCCGTGCAGTTGGCTCTCGAATGATGAAGCTTACATTCCCCGCGTAAATCTCATGACATCACTGTTCTTAAATAAATTTAAAATTCTCTCGGTTATTTTCATAAAACCGGGAAGCACGTGAGTGCGCCGTGTGTGCAACGTATCTCAATCAACCCAGACCTTCCTGTAACCAAGCATAACAAATTCTAACCCAAGCATAATGCATGCAACAGACATTTTGTACTCCCCAGGTTTACCAGAATGACCAACACAAGTTAATGATTTATAGAAGTAGTTTGAAGTTAAGAGAAATAGTTTGAAGTTAATAGTATGAGAACTTGTCTTTCTCTCTTTCCAGAAACCAATCATCGCAAATGAGCAAGCACGTCGTGTTCGGAATCAGTGCCAACGACGTCAACGTGGGAACGAGATTCACAGCTGTCAAAGAGGCCCTCGTCAGCAACTCTTCACTGGTGGCACCTTTAGTAGCTTCCTTGGCCCATCACATCAGAATGGCGACGTCCATTTTAGTAGACGACTTGTAAAACCTTCATCGGTATACTACCTTAATGCCATGAAAGTATTTCTTTTCTTTGTGTGTGTGTGTGTGTGTGTGTGTGTGTGTGTGTGTGTGTGTGTGTGTGTGTGAGATATCGAGAAGGTTGAAAGCTAGGGTTCCGTAGGAAAAGTTTGCTTTCAGGGACCTAACTACCAAGAAAAGAATCGCGTTTCCTTTCTATTTTTTGTTCCTCGTCAAGTGATTCTACGTTAATAATTCTAATACGAGTAACGACACAAGGAAGTGATTTTTTTGTAGAAATTTCACCAGTATAGCAAAGGGGTTTGAAACAGAAAACACACTTCCCAATGTGGCAGGCTCTTGCCGAATTAGACGGACCTGTGCGCAAGCTGTCTGCTTCTTTTATTTATTTTTCTGTCTTCACATTTTGATGCCCTTACTACGGCAGTTTCCCTGTGGCTATCCGTTCATCGAACTATATGGCTCATTGACAAACTGTTTTGTGGACACTGCGATGTCTCATAATAAAAAAATACGGTGAGAAATTATAAAGGCCCGTTTGCACACATGCGTTTTACTACGAACGACTGAGACGAGGCAGGTTTTTAAGCCTCTCGTGACGGCTTACGATCGGTTGCACAGCGATGCGGGCAGTCGGAAGCCATCGCAAGAGGCTTCGAAACTAGTCTCGTCTCAGTCGGTCGGGAAACAACGCATCTGGGTGACCGGTTGAGGGGATGAGAGCGTGCGGCGACGTCAGAGCGCCCAAAGGCGGATCCAAAACTCCGTGTTTTTGTTTTTTTGTTGTTTTTTTTTGGGGGGGGGGGGGGGCGGGAAAATTTGTCAGGATACTATTCTCCCATTCTTTCTTGTGCACCCGGGGGTCCACCCTTGTCAAATTGCCATCTGAGAAGGGGAGAGGGGGTCGACTTTGTTTATTTTCTTTTAGGGGGGGGGGGGAGGGGCGCGCCCTTGCCGCCCGCCCCCCCCCCCTCCCCCCTTGGATCCGCCCCTGAGAGCGCCGAGCTCTGATTGGAAGGATTAGTGGGTAGGCGCAAAGGCTAGCTGCCGTGTTTGCCCATTATCTTCTCTCCAATCAAAGCGAACAAAAACGTCGTCGGTTCGAGTCTGGCGTTCGAACGCCAAACTTTGCGGGAGGAGAAATCACTCTTGTTTGGAAACGCCAGCCCCCCGGTTTTTTTTTTTTTTTTTTATTACATTAAATTTTATTATCAAGGTTTTGTTGCTGACCCTAGTTTGCGAATACCATCGATGATGAATTGGAACGCACGTGCCAACGCTGGAAAGGAGGTCGCCTCCTCTCCAGCTTGAGATCTGCTAAGGTGGAAAGAAGTACGGAGGAGCTTCCTTTGAACACTTAACTTAATCCGTTCCTGCGGCATTGTGTATTAATTGTCTGGCGATCATAATCATCCCTTTTAAGGCCACGGTCCCACTGAATGTGGCAGTTTAGGTACTTTTCGGCAGGCCATTACTCATCTCCTTTTAAGTACTGTTTTGTGGGATTGATGTCATTTGAAAGGCAATGCAATCCTCTTTCATTTGATATTATGTATGTGTTGGTTTTTACTGTTCATGCGCGTTTGTAGCGTTGCGAATATGATGGCGCGGACCCTCACTTGCTCCGCTAGTTCATGTTTTATGAACGATCCATTAAAGATAGCACGGTTCCAATATAGCAGTTTTGTTAAGATGATGTCGGAGCAGAATCTAACGATCCACTTTTTTGATATTTGCACTATTTTGTTTTTTAGAGCGCAGCTCTTAGGGGCCCGTTTCCAGCCTGAGCGGCGTCGGCGTCGCCGTCGCCGTCGGCGTCGGCGTAACCGCGCCCCTCCCTCTCCTCCTCCTCCCCCTCCTCCTCCCCTCCTTCTCCTCCCCCTCCTCCTCCACTCCTCCCCCTCCTCTTTCTCCCCCTCCTCCTCCCCCTCCGCTCCTCCTCCTCCCCCCTCCTCCCCCGCCAAGGTCACGTGACCCCGGGGGGTGACTCCCCTCCCCCCGCCGAAGTCACGTGACGGCCCGCCCAAGGTCATGTGATCCCGTCCCCTCGAGGTCACGTGACCCCCGGACCTCTGCCCTCCTCCTCCTCCCGTCATTGTCTAGTATGGTTCGGGGGGGTCACGTGACTTCGGGGGGAGGGGGTCACATGACTTCAGCGGGGGGTCACGTGGCCTCGGGAGGGTCACGTGACTACCCCCTCCCCTCCCCCCCGAAGTCACGTGGTAAAGGAGAGGGAGGGGGAGCAGGAGGGAAGGAGGACTAGCAGGCATGATCACGAGGGAGGAGGAGGAATATACCCTCCACTCCTCCTCCTCAAGAGCTGCGCTCCAATTCGGCGTTACAGGAAGTTGTAAACGGCTTTCACTTTTTTCATCCCTCCAAATATTGCCCTAAAATTGACATTTTTCCGCACAAATATGTTTTTAATGACAAGAGCTAGGGCAATGAAATTAGCTACAGATGTAGTGCTTATAATTGGTAATATGCATAAAAAAATGTAATGTTGTGTAAATTTTTTTTGTTTAGATATTTTATATCAAACGTAGCACTTTTTTGTGCTTCGTGTCATGGTAGTTCAAATGCCGCTGAAGAAATAATTAAACTATGATAAAATCTTTTATAACATTTAGAGCTACAATGGTTGCCCAAGAGGTGGACGATGGCTTTTTTTCATTTTCAAAGTCATAACGCTCCAGGAGCCCTTCAAACTTACCTGTTTTTGACGCATATCTGTTTTGGACATCAAACAGATTTATTGGCATTTAATAACATTTATAGTTTGGAATAGATATACATTGCGATGTATTAAATTTTCACAATGATATTGCTTTGGTTTCTTAATAGGTGTAGAGCTTAGCTAATTTTAAAAACAATCAAAAACTGTTTGGGTGTTTTGTTGCGCTACCTGGCGGATGGCAGACGAACTGCTGAATTCTAATGTTCAAAAAATTTCCGAGGGCGGCGTTGGCGTCCGTATCATCATCAATCTCCGTGTCTTTTTACCCTCACATTTAAAAAATATATTGGAAGATTTACTTTCGATAACTGAATCGTTTAAGTACTGGGTCAGGCTAATAAATCTAAGACCAATATTTACACTAGCGTAGCGTGATATAATGTGTTCATTATTCGATATGATTGAAATCAATAAACAATGAAGACGAGGAGGAAAAGAATACACCCGAGTTCACTTTATGCCTAGAGTCACTAAATGAGCTTTAAAGTATCGGCACTCCGTTCCCCCAAAATTGTTTTGGGCGCCGCCATTTTGGGTCTTGCTCAGAGCAAACGCAACTGCCGATCATCGTGATCTAAAAGTACGACTTCCTCAGCATTAGATGCGGTGCTAGGAAGCTGATGCAATAATGCAATGCTCTGTCGCGGGTTGTTTAAACATTTGTGAGGGAGAGAAAAGCGTTTCCTGTGATTTTAGATAAAGCTTCATATAACTGGCAACAATGATTTTAAGCCACAATATGGCCAAGTGTCGTTACTCTGAACCGTAGCTAATTTACTGGCACAAGCGGGAACAATGAAGAAGAGGCAGGTGTCAAAAGGTAGTGGCTTGTGGAATCCACGGGGCTTATGATATGACCCCTCCAGGTATTGCTGGGTGGAGCACTTCATGTGCCCTTTGCTTAGGGTGGAGCACGACATCTGGCCATTTTGTCCCCCTCTTTTATTTTTATTTTTTGTTCAGAAGCGCGTGAAAGAGCGTGTCCCTGCACGCGCTCGTGGTGCTGATTGTGCTATGGCGACATTTTGTTTTCGTCGATTTCTTTGTATTTTCCCCGTGAGCGCGTGCTGTCGGCATCGGGTACTACAGAGGGTGGCATTAAAGCCCCTTGATAAAGGTGTTTTCACAAGTACCGCCAACCATTGTTGTGGAAATGCGCAAGACACGTGCCACGAGCGGGCGCTCCGCCGCCATTCGCTTCCAAGGGCCGCTCGAGACCTGGGCCACGTGCGCTCGCGCATTTGGCGCTACTTGCAAAGACAAACGAAAACATATCAAGGGGCTTTAGGTGGCATCACCCTAAACAGAAGGACATTGAGGCACCCTAGGTATTACTAGAGCACTATATAGCTCCTACAGAGCAGAGTAGCGCAATCCTTTGAACCCCGTGTTTTGCCGACAACATGGCCGACAGAGCGACTCGGCGCGAGTCACGTGGTACTCAGGGTTCCAGGAGGCGGCCCGCCCTATGGGAGAATACATGGAGATCGATACAACACGGCTGATTAAAAAATGAACGGCGAGTTCACACTTTTCAAAACTAGTCTGCCGTGAAGTTAGTAAAGCACTAAACACTTTATCAAAGTTTTAATAATATCAGATGCGTGTGCAAATTTTGAGAAGGCAATTTCCAAGGCAATGGCGTTTGAAGCAGACGATTTTTGCTCGCAGCGGAGATGGGCTTTTCGGGTTGGCCGGAGCGGCTCACGTGAATGGTGTGACGTCGCCGTGTCGTCCGCTGCATGATGCCACTCAGGCAATTTTTAAAAAAAAGTTACGTCCTTGTATGGCATAAAACTTATCGCATATTATTCTAAAATGTTTCATTATTATGTCAAAAATGATTTCCATTCCGCACATCCCCACAAAACTGAAGAAACAACGATTTTCTCACGTTCTCCGTGCATTTCTGACCGCAGTTGGAACCTCCGGGCGTTCGCCGCTAGTCGCCGAGAGACGGCGTTCTAGATTGCGCTACTCTGCTCCGAAGGAGCTATATAGTACTCTAGGTATTACAAGCCTCTTGAACAAGAGCATGAATAGTGTTATTAAATAAGCTACGCTTCAGAGTAGCCACGCTTGGCCTTAGTATGGCTTAAAATTATGGTTGCCAGTTATTTGAAGCTTTATCTGAAATCACAAGAAACGCTTTTCCGTCCCCCCTTTAAACAGTTTGCGGCAAAGCAAAGCAACATTACATGAGCTTCCTAACACCGAATCTAATGCTTACGATGTCGCACTTTTGAATCATGACGATCGGCAGTTGCGCCTGCTCTGCACAAGCACCAAAATGGCGGCGTTCACAACACTGTCGGGGAAGAGAGTGCCGATACTCTAAGCGCAGCTCATTTATTGGCTCTAGTTGCCGCGAACCTCCTTTTCCCTGACTGAAACTGAAAGTAAATATGAATAATACACCATTATTATAGCTTATTTAGTTATAACCAAATACACATAATGAGAGGAGGAAGCGGGCGGGTAGGAGAAACGCGGGTTTTATACGCGACCGTTCTAACCGTCTCAAAAGAGAGAACGCACGAGCTTGCGCTGGTTTAGAAAAAAAGGCATCCAAAGAAAAGAGGCGGCACACTGTGTTCTTTGTTATTATGCGACTAATTGCAAATTGTTGTGTGTATGTTTATTCAGCCGGAAGTTAGTCTGCCTTAGTGGGCGTCTGGTGTCTCAGCTGTAGATAAGCAATTTAGCCAGTGCGGTACAACCGAAAACCTGGGGTCTTCAACGTGCGCCACGCAGTAATGATGCACGACCGCACGCCGGTACGATGCTCTTCCAGATCGAAACGGGCAGGGGCGGGGTGGGTTCTGCAGCGCGAGCTTTCGCTCCCAGTGCTCCGAGCTGGTGTAGGCTAGACCATGCACTCGGCAACCAACCCCCCCCCCCCCCCCCCCATGTGCGTCTAATTTATATACAGGTATAAGTATTTGAAGATCGACAATGGACGTCGATCGTCTCAAGGTAATGTAACGTAATAACATTATATAAATTATAAACTGGTTGAAGGAC